ACCAGTACCCTGGTATGATCTTCCCTCTATTGGTCCTACACATTTTCCGCTAACGGTCGCTTGACTCTAAGACCCCTTTCTTTCTCGTCCCTTCTCTCTGGTGCGTGGTCCCTTCTTCCTGGTGCGCGGTCCCTTGTCCCTTCAATTTAACTGCCCCCTTGATTCTTCACATTTCGCAAAGCACTTCACCACACTACCTAAATTTCAATTTCTCTACTACCCGGTGGTACTACCAAGCTTTAGTTCCAATTAATTGGTCCAGTTAAGGTGGTTGAGGAGGTTGTAGACCTAAATTATAGGCTCACTCTTCCACTGTATATGAAGACGCCCCCGTTTTTTTACGTGGGTCGTCTGAAACGGTATGCGAATCCACAAGAGATCACATATCCACATTTTTCTATTGAGACCAATGGTGACGGCGACTGTGAGTCTAGCGTTGCTGGCCGACAGGAGACGGTGAAGCCGAAAGGAAACCCATATACCAAGGTAAAAGAGTACTCTGTGATCGAGAAGGACTCCGCGTTTAAAGCGAATCTCTCTTCACCAGTTGCTCGAATCGATTTAAGCGAAGTTTCAGGTGGTCATTCCCCTGACGGTCCTTCGCCCTCACATATCGTAGATCCAAAGTCAGTCGCAAGAATTGACTCGAGAGATTCGTCACCTCCCTCTTCAGCGCAGCTTTCTCCGCCTGCGACTGAAATACAGCAGGATAAACAGCCTCGAGTAGCTTGACGTAATCGCCGATCCTGTCGGGCGCCACCTGTGTTGGGGGATGCGGGTGGGAACACACGCTTTCTTGTTGGAAGGTTGTTGGCACAACGCCATGTGAAGCAAAAGCTTCAGATCCTTGTCCAGTGGAAAGGATGCCCGAAGAATTTTCACTCTTGGAAATTGGTTGACGCGTTGCGCGTCGACGTTCCTGGGCTGGTGGCTGCTTACGAGCAGAAGCACCAGCTGCATTCGATCTTCTAGGTCCTGATGGAGTAGCAGTGGCAGCGTGACAAGGAGGGTTGTTGGTTATCACCAATACCCCTCGCACGCGTCATAGCGAAGCTGATTCGCTGCGACCGCTATTTCACTGCATCGGCATGCGGTTTAACACGGCGCAGGAACTCTGCCTCGTATTCGTCGGTTGTCGTTAGTACGCAGCACGACCGGGATAGGGAAAGAACAATCTAGTGCTTTGCCCTGTCTTTTTCCATGATGTAAATACGCTAAAGAGTTTATTAGGACAATAGTGGAACGCTCTAAAAGCGTCGCACTTTACCACTCGAGCGTGAGCACTCGGATGGTGGAGGCATTGGTGGAAAACCATCACTCCCGTATCCTTCCTCGCGACGGCGTGCTTGTGATGCCTACTGTGAAGTCGAAGGGGCTTTTTGCTCACCTTCGCCTGAGTCTGACTTTCCATTATGGATTTGTGAAGACTGCAGGCGTAGGGTAAACAGAGGCGGCCAATTTAGAATCGCAGACCTGCTGTTGAGCCGCGGCTGTTTCTTTCGGCAGCGTGCTCAGTTGTGGTCGCTGCACTCGTTGGTGCAGACGACGAGGCATGACTATCACTGTCGGGAAACGTGAAAGCCTCCTGAAGGTTGGGTGCCTCCAGTAATGGGGACATATGTCCCATCAATGCACTGAGCTCATCACCACTATGGGTTGATAGCAATGGCGTACTCTCATTGTAAGTTACAATAAGAGACAGATCTTCATCTGCACAATAGTGGGGTGGATCGGTGTTTTCTGCTGAAAAGCTGACATTTGATGTCGGCGTTGTCACGGAGACACTTAGCGACGACTGCGGGTTATTGCGGCGCGTTCGCCTTGTTTTGGTCTGCATGGCCGCCTTTGCAGGTGACCCGACAGTCTTACCAAGGTTCGGTGGCATCTTCTTGCTTTCGATGTTTTACAAAAACGAAAACTAGTTTTAAAAAGGAGGATGGTGTAACGGGCCAATGGTTTCACGATTCCGTTAAGTATGATACCTAACGGGGAGGTGTAAAGGGGTACATGGTATTTTAGACCTTTCACTTGGTGAGGCACATCAGTGTGACCCACCCTCAGAAATGTGATATCCATGGATGAGTTCATATTCTACAAGGATGACTCCGAGATGGGAAAAGGCGTCATGATGACTTCACAGATGGACGTCATCAGTGAGCTCAAATATATAAAAGCTCGCACGTAAGCATACGCCTCTAAAGAGACGCGTATCCGATGTTAACATTTAACCAATCAGTAGCTAGATTTATATTTAATTATTTTCCATAAGATATAAGTCAGTCTTGAATTTGCTAACTACCCTATCACTGCGCTCGAAAAGCTTGATAAGCTTCTGCGTGTTGTAAGTGAAGTACTTGATAAAGGTTTTTTGCGCGGTTCGCTTAGGCGACTGGCAACGGTTCGTACAGCGCTTTGGTTCCGATAAACACCACCACCACACGCGGAGGTAATACGGTCTAACCTCTTCCTCACTCTACTTGAAGGTGTGTGATAGTAGCACGTGGCAGCTTCTTTGAAGTGCCCGTCTACACTCTCAGAATACAATTTACCTGCACTGATGACAATGAAAACAGAGCCTCAGTACTTTACGTACACGTGAACAGAGGAGGATAATAAACTAAACAATCGCTTAGTTGAAAAGAGAAAGAGAACTGTAATTAATATAGTTAATTTTATAATAAAACTAATTTGTTATAACTTGTGTTTGTAAGAGTGTAGTCGTAGTTGCACTTGTGCAAAAGGTGAAGGAAGTAAAAGTGAATATATTAGTGCTAACTACTCTAGTCCGTCAACACTACAACATGCATTTCCAACGGCACTCCATGTTGACCAGGTCAATTTCCACATGGTGGCCGTCTCTCTCCGTCCCTTGTGCCATCTCATCACATGAAGCCCGTCTCTCCCGCTCCCATCTATCATCTCGTAATGTGTCGCCCGTACCTTCTCGTCCCATCTGTCAAGATGCCACAACAAAATAGCCAATCAGGTGACGTCGCATATTACCTGTAACTGATCTTGAACTTGGGCTTCAAATCTTGATGACCTGTCAGAACCAATATCTTTTAACAGTGTTTATTGTATAAAACTACAACTATGTATGTTGACAACTTGCCCTCCACTCATTACGCGCGTCCATCGGTCATTGGTCAGCGCGTTGGTTGTTATAATGGACTTTATCAAACAATCAGAGGACATCCCCAACTTGAAGAAGATGCGCGAACAATATTATAAATAAATATTATATTGTCGAATATTATTAGTTACAATAACATTCTTATTCACACTTTATATAAGTGTCAGAATTATGTAACGGGCTCACTCCGTTATGTAACTGCATTTTTGGATATGATAGTCTCGATGCCATCGTCGAAATGAAGTAGGGGCCGTGGTCTACCGAGGAGGAACCGGGGATTTCAATGAGGGACCGTGGTCGACTCCTTTCGGTACCGTATTATCGTGCCCTGGTAATGATCTCCCCTATGCTGTTCCTGCAAATTTTTCTCAGCCAACGGCCGCTTCACCCCTAGATCTTCTTTCTCTTCATTCCCCTATTCCTGGTGCACGGTCTTTTACTCCTTGGACCCGACTGGCTTTTGAGGTCCCCACATTTCGCGAAGCACTTCATCACAGCTGCAAGCATTCCTTACTTCTCGCAAGAAACGACAACCATATCGATGGTTGTCGATTCTTTGCGGAGTATAACTTGTTCGTGGAGTATGAATCGGGATGACTTAACATTGTCGCCGATGCACTCTCGCGTCGGTTTTGTTTTCGAGCTGACAGTAGTGAGGTTAACTCCACTGTCGCTACGCTGAGTATTAGCGTCCTATCGTCGAGCAAGCACCGTCTGTGTGTCGTACTGCATCAGTAAATGAGTGCTTTTCTCTCCCAGCAGGAGTCACTATATTAATCAGTCACCTTTGTGACTGATGGTTGGGGGTGATGTTACGGGATACGTCTGTTACATAGCATTGGCACTAACATTAAATGCCAACGTGATTATTATCTTAGCGGCTAATATTGTCGTTATATCTCCTTGATGTCCTGCTTACTAGCTCATATAGGCCATAATACCAGCCACCGCGCTGGCCAATGATGAACGGACGCGCGTAATGAGTGGTAGGCAGATTGCCATTGTACATTTTTGTAGTAACACATAATCAAAGTAAGGTTCAGATGATCTATATAATAAAAGACTGTGACTATATACAGTTTTCACAACAAAGCGTGACGATCAAGTTATATTGCTTCCTGTGCTTCTTAGTGTAAGTGAGGCAACGAGGCACCTGCTTACAATGTCATCAGTGTAGACTATACTGTAGTCCGAGGGTACAAACGTTTTTATTCAACAAATTATGTAAAAGTAAATTTACGTCTCTACCCTTATCTTGTTGAGGTCACAAATCAGAGCATAATTGATGTTAAATAAGAGCAAGATGTCGTAAAGTATGTAACATTTAGCCACATTTATGTGCAGCTTTTCTATTCAATACATGTTTGTATTCTTCTTCACCTTTTTCTAATGACAATGAGACTCTGCGGGCAGTGCTTGGTATTTCCTAAACGTCCATCCTGTGTTCTTGTTGCGTGCAAGGCAAAGCCACTTCATCGTTGTAGTAAATGCAACTTAGTTGCCAGTACAGCCGGTCGGCCTGTCATTCACGCCGTAATGCGTAGAATTGAGCTCCATGCGGCGTCCAATTGGTTCCATGTGCACGAGTGCACGTGGCCTTCGTTAGCGATATATTTATGAGCTAAAGCGGGCACAATACACACAGATAAACGCTGTATTTCTGGATCAGAATGTAACAGATCACAGATTAAGCATTAATTTGGAGTACCAAGCAGCTTCTGCTTTCACTTTTTGATCCATCGAACTGCTGTAGCTACATATAAGCAGCTACTACATTTGCAATTTTGCGCACTGAATCTAGTCAACTAGATGATCTTCTTGCATGTTGCTGGTCACAACAGCTCCGAGCGTTTTCGACGCAACGTCTTCATTGTGAAATTGGATAGGCACGCTTGACATGGATCTCTTCGTGAGGTCTTGACGCATAACACATCAACAATAATGATATAAACACATCAGCTCAGCAGCAAAATGACCTCAACGTACCATCTTATCTCACCTGTCATTAGCGCCAGTTGGCACCATACCCATGCGCTGAATCACCTTCATCCCCGTCGAAATCCGCCCAAATATCGTGTGCTTACCTACACACATTCATCCATTCAAACAACCCAATACAATCAGCTTTACAAGCTTGATCAACAAAACTTGATCAAACTTGTCAATACCATCCAGCCACGGTGTCGGTGCCAACGTAATGAAGAACTGACTGCCATTAGTGTTCGGCCCTGAATTCGCCTATCAAAAGGTCATACAAGTAAGTGGATTACAAAAACTAAGAGGAGTCTCACTCTCCTACTTTATAATCATAAGTATATAATTTTACCATCGACAGCACACCAGCTCCCGTGTGTTTGAGCTCCTTGGAGATCTCATCATCAAATTTTGCCCTGTCGCACCCATTAATTGTTATTAGACATGAAATATTACAATAGACTTGACAGGACAAATACGGACCCATAAATGGACTCTCCGCCTCTTCCCGTTCCTGTGGGATCCCCACCTTGAATCATAAAACCTTTAATAATGCGGTGAAAGATGGTATTGTTATAGTAACCGCGTCGCGCCAGCTCGACAATATTCCAACAGGTTTTTGGCGCGTGCTCAGAGTACAATTCCATCGTAAAGCCACCCTATCATTACAATTGTTTCAGTATTCACGTTATGAGTTGTTTAATGCTAGATTACAGCCCGAGACGCGCTGCAGACAGGCGCACCACAGACGTCTCGAAGACCACATGGGTTGGCAGCTTTGACGTAGCCATTTTTGAGATACTGTAATAATTGCGGTCACAAAATTTGGATCAAAATGACTCAATCTCAATAAAACCAGACTAATTTCAATCAAACGTCTTTTTAAAGTACCAAATTTCAGTAAGTATACAAATTAATTGCCAGGTCATTTATTGGGTAAAATAGCGTATTCAACCATCACTCTTGTCTTCCGCATTAATGGGTCTGCACGTACTCGACCGACGAGACGTGCAGCGCATCTGCAGCGGTCAGTCAGTCTTGGACCTTGCGACTGCCGTTAAAGAGCTAGTGGAGAATGCGCTGGATGCCGGTGCATCGCAGATCGAGGTGAAACTTACGGAGTTCGGGCGCGATGCCTTTGAGGTCAGCGACAACGGCGTGGGCGTCACGCCCGAGAATTACATGTTGCTGGCACGTAAACATTACACTAGCAAGATTAGCAGCTTTGAGGACATTGAGAGCGTCACGTCCTTTGGCTTTCGGTGCATTTTGTGTTTTTTACTTAAAATTATGGTGATGGTGATTGATTTAATTTAATTAATTAATTAATTGTTTATATTATTGTAGTGGTGAAGCATTAAGCTCCATCTGTGAGCTAGCATCAAGTTTTACAGTATGCACGAGAACGCAGAATGAAGCGGTGGGGACACTGCTGGAGTACAACGCCAGTGGAGAATTAGTAAAAGAGACAAAGAAGGCGCGGCCGGTGGGCACAACTGTCGTAGTGAAAGAATTGTTCAAGGTGCAATAATTAATTGATGAGACTAGAAAGAGTTTGCTGACTAATATTATACTACTGCGTGCTCTTGCAGCCGCTGGCAGTTCGGTCGAAGGATTTTCAGCGCAATATAAAAAAGCATTATGCTAAGCTGCTCAAGGTCCTGCAAGCGTACGCTGTGAGCTGCGCGTATGTTAAGATCTGTGTATTTAATATCACGGGCAAACAGAATGCCAGTCGACAGGTTGTGCTCGCTACTCAAATGCACCAGACGATGGGGGATAATATTGCCAATGTGTTTGGCACCAAATTTTTTAGGACTTTATTGAGGGTGGATTTTGAATTGCGTGTTGGATTGAAAACTGGGGAAGAAGATAAGGAAAATGCCAGAGATGAAGGTAGCAGTGACGGTGGCAGTGGACAGATAAGCTCTGGTGTGTTTGAGATTGACGACACAGTAAGTGGGCAAGAACGCAAGGTGGTAGGATATGTTTCCAAAGTTGGTGCTGGAGTCGGCCGAAGTGATAATGACCGACAATTTTTCTTTATCAATGGACGGCCATTTAACTTGGCAAAGGTACGGATGATGAATACCGGAGATGCTTTTTGGTGACTTACTTTCGATTGTGTCGTTAGGTGGCGAAAATACTGAATGAAGTGTGGCGACATTACGAAATGAAGCAAAAGCCAGCATGTGTACTCAACTTCCATCTCCCGCTCGGTGACTACGATGTAAACGTCACTCCGGACAAACGGGAGACGTTCATGAAGTATGTACGTGAGCTTTCGTTCTCATTATGTGGGTGATCTTTAGTATTGATGTCGTACTTCTTAGGAAGCAGAGATTCTTGATGCATTCAAGTCGGGTCTAAGCAAACTCTATGAGCCGAGTCGAGGAACGTTTACGGTTCAGCCTTTGATGACAGCATTTCCTCGAATCACAAAAACAGAAGATTCTACGAAACAATCTGATTCTCTTTTACAAAAAGATGCTGCTGTAGCACAACTACAGCGTACGCCTGATTCTGACAACCGAAAGGGTGACGACGAAGCACCAGCAGAGATCACGACGATGACGAGATTCTCCGAAAATGACCAAGACGATACTGAAGTGCAGAATTCAAGACATGTCATTGTTGATATACTTCAGCCAAAGTTTCAGTGGGGCAAAAGCACAGAGCGTACGCATAACAAATATGATGATGCCGGCGAATCAAAGCAAGCTTCGTCACCGACGACAAGTACTGCGTCTCCGCTATTATCCGTTGAACACCCTATGTTGGATCTGCGGAATGATGTCAAAAGACAGAAGGTAAACTCCCCTCCTTCTTCACAATCAACCTCTTCGATGTTGGAAGAGCATGTGTGGTCATTTGACGAAATGATGAAGCAGCGGCAGCTGTATATTGGGGAAGAACTGGAGCATGAACGAAGGCGAAAGGCAAACCGCCTTAAGATACCGAAGATGTGTTCTACCTTAGTCGAGGGAAACATCGAAAAAGAAACAAATGAGCTTGTTGCGTCAGCTCTGCAACGAGTGCTGAAGAAGGAAGATTTTAAGCGCATGGAAATTCTTGGCCAGTTTAACCTTGGTTTTATTATTGGCAAGCTGGACAATGACGTGTTCATTATTGACCAGCACGCCAGTGATGAAAAGTTTAATTATGAGATGTTGCAGCAAACCACTGTCATGCACCAGCAACCCCTTGTCCGGCCGCTCATGTTGGAGCTAACAGCTGGAGAAGAAATGATCATTTTAGATCATCTGGATGTTTTCGCCAAGAATGGATTTACCTTTTTCGTTGACAAGGACGCTCCAGCGACAAAGAAATTGAAGCTGCTGTCATTGCCTTTCACAAAACACACACAATTCGGCACTGAAGGTAAAGTCGAATGTGTCACCTTTTGTTCGTGTTCGCCGACGTGTTGTATTTTGCGTTGCCGTAGATATTCGAGAATTGGCGTCGCTACTAATGGACGCACCGTTAAATTCGTCTACGATCCGCTTGCCTAAAGTGATGGCGATGTTTGCATCACGAGCGTGCAGAAGCTCTATAATGATCGGCACCGCTCTCCACAAGGAGGAAATGCAAAAGGTATGTCTTGATAATGGTGTTGTGAATACCAATGTTGCTGATACGTGCCATTGCTGATAATATTGCATCGTGCCGTTGCTGTCGCAGATTGTTCGAAATCTATCGGGCCTGGACCAGCCGTGGAACTGTCCACATGGGTACGGTGGCTATTCTTTATGTGCAGTTTGTTGCATGACCTTCGCATGTGATTATCAATGTGTCTGTCGTTTTGCGGCAGGCGTCCCACTCTTCGCCACTTGGTCGATCTTTTGCACCTCGCCGAAAGTAACGGCAACTAACACACACTTTTCCTCTCGTAAGTAAGCGCTACCCCATCGGACATAGGCGTATGCATTAGCCACTTTTTGAATGCAAGGCTGTGTTAATAATTATGTAGTGCTGCATCTTCGTTTTCTAAAGCGTTGTCTCATTAGGCACTTCAGAAGCGTCGATGCTTAAACTTGAAGGCAACAACTGTTTCTGGTACTTCTCGCATAGTTTGTTGTAGCCATCAACAAGGACCGGGTCGTGAGGGTCCCCGTGGAAATTGGCATTGACGAACTCGGTCCATTCACGAATGTCATTCTCTTCCGGTGAGTGCGTGAAACACCCACCGTCACACTGGCACTCTCCGCCGTATTCTTTTGGCAAATTTTCGGGTGCAACAAACTCCAGCAGCGCTTTAGTAATGTCTTTTTGGCCACGAAGCACGTGAATACGCTCACGCGTCTTCGAATTGACAAGCGGTGACACGAGCTTCCAGATAAGGTTGAACCAGGATGGAGGGTTAATGAGAAACACCTGGTAGACCCGCTCTGGGTTGTACGTGGCTATTACCTCGCCCCACTTCTTTGTGTAGTTAACCACGTCGCTCGACAAATCAACCATGGAGATTCCTTTAATATCATACACTTTAAGCATATTGCCCTCCGGGAACGGCCGCGGGTCGATCACGTTCCACATGAACTCCATCATGCGGACGTGGTGCATGATTGCTTCGTCTTCCGAAACACCACGACCCGTGAAATCGTGCAGCGCCTTCCGTTGGCCACCAAGGAACTCGTAAGAAATCGGATGACCTTGTCGATCCTTTTTGTGTATAAAGTGTGTGAAGCACTCCTTCATGTCCGCGTACACGTGTGATGGACGCAGCAAAATCGTGTCTACGTCGTTTTCTTTTCGCCACTTCATTGTCGCAGCGTACCGCTCCTTTGCTTCCTCAACATCGCCTTCACACCCAGCGAGGAAACGGCTATCGAGCTCTTCGTCTTGACCATCATCATTGCACTCCGATGACCCTTCGCTCTTTCCCATCGTGATTTTGACACATTCAACACGCAACTGTTGTGCCCTCGAAAATCGTTTGGTCGTTAGCAGCAAACTGATGCCCTCGTGAAAGCGAGTGAGGAATAGAGCAAGCGCTGACAGCCACGCTAGAAGTTCAAAAGAGCCTTTGTCCATTGAGTTCATGACTGCTGCTACTACCACAAAGAATAAAGCAAGCCCCCAAAAATGCCAGTTGGTCTCCCCTTCCGAACTGCTCAAAGCCTTTTCAGTTTTAACGGCAACATAAAGCACATGTTCGTCGCGTAGACCGTTTCCTAATGGCTCGGCCTCTACCACAACAGGCGAGCAGCCCTTACCCCCATGAATGAGCATCTCGCGCGAATAAAGCGCTGTACCGTTAGCCGATGGGCCGTTCACGTAAAATCGGAGAATACTTGAGGGATACATATCAACTCGGAAGGTTTTGCCGACGGCCGGGTTGCTGGCTATCACGGACTCGGGAAGCGACGACTCGTGCTGGACAGTCACACAACTAATGGAGTTGTCCTCAGGCTGCGGACCACGTTGCAGCTTAAAGAGAGCGTCCTGAAAGAGTTGCATAGCCTTGCGCAATGTATTCGCAATCTCCGTGCACTGTTCAGGCGTGCGCGCACGTACGCGAAAGACTCGGCCATCGGAGCGAATTACTGTCAGAATACGCGGAAACTGATCGTTGACCTCGATGTGTAGAATATCCGACAAATGAACGGACGACCGTACTTCACCTAAAGCCATGGCCGACACAGGAATGCAATCGTCATCGGTAATGGATCCCGTCGCCTTAAAGCACAGCATTTCTGCTGTCGTCAGCATGAAAACTCTCCACTTCCACAACGCCACGTTAGCGCTCATACGACGACTTGCGAGGGACCGTCCTCCCATTGTAAACGTGCCTAAATACAGGATTTCATCTACAGTGTTGTCCTGTTCCTCCAATAAGCAACTAAACAAAATGCCAGGCATTGCATTGGCATTATTGCTCGCCAAAGTGCTGCCCATTGAGTTCAAACTGAAGCTTGCTCGGCTATTGCCATCAGGTGTTCCAGGTGCAATTGCCGTCCGGTCTACTGATGGTAGACTGTCCTTTGGAGGAGTTAACGGCATCAACATCTTCTTTTCAGAAATAGGCGACACTTCCGGGTCACTCTCTCGTTCCGTATAGCTGGGATTAGAATTGTGTCGTGGTCTTGAACTTTTAGGACTACGATATCCCGCTCGACGCTGCACCAAGTACCTTGTACACAAGTCGCAGACTCGCACTTCCTTCATAATCCCCAAGTGAGGCAATGGCACTTGGTTCTTACTATGTACACCACATACAGTAAGTCGACAGTTCCGGCATTGATGCTACAAAAGACCCAGAATATAAAAAAACCCATTACTAAAAAAAACAATCCCCCCGTCCTCGAATAAACCATACAATAAAACCCACCCGAACCCGTAATAATCGAAGAGAGACATTGCAGACGTGACATTTCGAGTCTGCGCCAGTTTGTGGCGTCATTGCAACATCGAGTGACCGACTAGAGGTGTATTCTGAAGCTGTAGGTGTTGTCACTTCATCTGTACTTGATAACGAAGTGCTATTGCTCTTAAAATGTGCCAAAAAAGCGGCTTTACGTCGCTGGAGCTCCTCGACCATTGTAGATTCCACTTCACTCGTACTTAAAGAAGTTGTCGATAAAGAAGATGAAAGAGAGGATGTGGATGTGAAAGAGGAAGTGGTTGTTAGATCTGGACTTCGTTCACGAGAGGCTTCACGAAGGAAGCGCGGCATTGCGAGGCGATCGTCAGTCTCTAAAATTTAATGGTAACGTTTTTTTGGACCAAAAGCTTTAGGATAGAAAGAACGTTCGTCTACTTATTAGTTTTGAGATGATCTTCTATTTTTGCAGACTTATTATGTATTAAGTATACTTGACTTGCAATGGGAGGGCATATAACTGTTAAATGTTATTTGTGATTTATGCATTATAAAAGGTGTACAGTATCACTAGTTGACGACGCAAATGATCCTATTTGACGACAATGTTGTCGCCTCTAGCGCAAATACTAGACTCAATTTGCAATCTGCATGGCAACTACACGGTCAATTGCGCGTTATTGTTCAGTTGTTCATAGTATCGTAAGATTTTTGTCAAATGTTTCGACGTTTACGCGGCTTTCGACTAAGCGACATCTATTCAGCTCATTGTCGTCACGTAGAAATCTCCTCGAGGCTCTTTTCAACTTCCTCGGTACATGGAGGTTGAGCCTTTCCCGTCACCATAACAAAACTGCAACTCATCAGCAACATTGCCTGTCAGTATAGAGTCCTTGCTGTAGATAGGACGAAAAGATGATACTACTCTGATGTGTCCCGTCTTGTCGTTTATTGGCACATGAGGTCTCGTCGTCAAGCTGAAACAAGCCTAATGTGTCTTCTGCGCTGAAAGTTACGAGGCTGTGGCCCTAGCCTCGCAACTTTCAACGCAGAAGGAGCTAAAATGTTCTACAAAAGGACTCATATTCAACTAAAAACGAGGCATATCGTGAACTGGAAACCGTAGAATATGTCGGGAAAGTTGGCTGAAAATGTTTGAATTATACAATGACATGAAAGTCCAATAGTTTACGTGGACGTGAATCCAATTCCTCCTACAATCGCCAATCCTGAAGCGATGACGGTCAACATCTCTCTGTAAACCAATCGAGTTACGTTCCACGGCGAAATCGGATCACAATGTTCCAGTTGCACGATGACGCACGACTGAAAGGCTACACAAGATGCAAGACAAGAGATCACTACAGTCCGCCTTAGATTCTCTACTTGGACAAAAACCTGCCGTAGCGTCGGTCAACGTGACCTAGAGCACTCCCAACGCTATCAAGCAGCTCAGTCGCCTTCTCTTTCGACCGTCCAAAGAGGAGAGGACAAAAAATAGCTCGATGGGATTAGACAAGTCCATCCAATATCATTCGCTGAAGTCCCAAGGCGGTTTGTGCTGATGCCGCGTCAATGGACATCGTGCGCGTTTTTAAGTAAGTGTTAATGATGCTGATGCCGGCTATCATGGCGGCGTCGGCATTGCTGCTTTGTGGTATTTCACGACACCTGGACAGCTCAGAACTTGCTGTGCAAAAAGACCAAGACCGGCGTGATTCGTGGCTCTACCTGGCAGCACATGCTACTCCGACGCTATTGTACGATGAGGGTATTTGCATTGTATGACGACGTTTTCAATCGTTTACATGTATAAGGTAGATCCTTCGTCTGAAGGTGTCGACTTGCTCAGTATGGACAACTCAGACAAACGTGTGGCGGTGATTAACCTCATTTGTAAATGATGATGCGTTTCCCTCCTCTAATTACTAGCAGCGCTTTCCTCAACGCATTCACTTATCGCATACTCCGACCGTGCACAACTCTTTTATTCTGGTAGCAACTCCGATATTTTGCCCCGTTGCCATTCATCGAGGTCATGACATCTTCATCGAAGCAAAGAGCAGTATCGTAAACTATCAGGCGATCGCCACATTCACACTCAACTTGCTGAACATGATGCAGTCGGTATTGCGCCATGGTAGCAGTGCGCTGACCATGGAAGCTGTGGCCCTGAGCATCGCATCTGACGGCTACATCTACATGTACCTGATGTTCCTCGAGCTTTCAGGAGAAGAACGCAAGCCGAGAAGTCTACGTCCTGTCAATACTCTTGTTCTTTTTCGTAGAATCTCTACATGACTGTACTGGTCGCATAAGGCGTGACGTAAAGGAGACGGTTGATCGATTCTAGCTAGCCAAACATTCGAATGAACCCCCACTCGGTTCTTGGCTTCTCATTAGTAATGTTTGCTGACCATTAAAGGTTGAGGGTCATGGGTTGCAGCGGACGTTGGGCACTTGGGTAGGTATCCTCAATGCAGAGGGGACATAGGCTACGTTTCTTGATCCACACATGGGAGTCTGACGTACTCAGAGACATGAAAGCCTGATGATTGTCGATTGTGGGGATCAAGTATCCGGATCGAACAAGAACTAGTATCCACTCAAGAAGGTCATAATGGACAACAATGTTGTAATCCAATATCTCCACCATCATGCTCGTCTTTCAACACGCGAGTGAATTTCCACCTTCAAGGCGATTCCTTTACCACCGACCAGAGAAAACAGAGCGTTAATGAGGTGTAGACGACTGACGCCAGAGTGTCTGTCCACCATGTGCATTGTCGCCAGGATTCTCACTCCTTCAGTGCCAGTTAAAAAATACTGGTCAAAGTCTGCTGAATAATCATCGATAGCGTGAGTTTTGCTCGACGCGATTGCCGCGTGACAATTGTTGCTGGTGCAGATTCAGACGACTGCAACCGTCGTGTTTGAAGGTCGACCATCCAATCCTGGTCATAGACATCACCGTGCGTGCGCAACAGACTATGAGTGCTACCTAGGACCCATAAGGGAACTCGTGTAACACTCGCGTTGGAACATTTGTAGGGAGCTCATTGCCTATGAACATCAGTGTTTGCCCATGTCAAATTACTAGCAGCAGCGAACTTGCTACAAGAGACCTTTTTCGGTCCAACAACAAGTCCTGCTTTTGAAAAGACCCAACCTCCGCATTTGATAAAACATGGTGTTGCATGCAATTAGCAGGGGCAGTACGTTTCCAACGGGTGTCGCTGTTTGATATTGCGGCAGTTGTTGTTGGTATTCCATATTACAACGTGTAGCTTTGTGGGATACTAATGTTTACACATACTACAACCAGCGGCTGGCTCTGAGAAGGAGCCCCATGAAGCTCAATGCATGGCAGGCAAATCCTCTACATGAGATGTAATTGCTACACTTATTCAAACTTGCGTCTCCTGTTGAAGGAGAGGGTATGAATCACCTCGAGCTCCTAAGATGATGGCCGTCTTACTCTCTATCATAAAAAGCATCGAGTTCACCGAAGGCTGCCAAGCGACACATGCCGTGTATAGACCGTTTAACCCTAGCGCCAGAGTCTCGGGATAAACCATATGAGTATCGTATGCTATCGATTTGCGTGCCTGTCCAGATGGCTGCTGGGGTTTGGTCGCACCAGGAAGAGATCGTCACCAAGCGTTGGTCCATTGAGAGGACAGCAGAAGAAGAAAGGCGCTGGAACGGTTGCCTTTGTCGGCACCGTTTGCTTGAAGCGAGAGACTACCATTGGACTTTGACCGGGGAAAGTCGAACTTGGTCCCTCCTCCACCTGATCATTCTGCACAGCGTTACATTTTACAAACGAGTTTTTCTGTTCTCGTTTCTAGTTTCTGTAGACTATGTGCCATTCGTGCCTGGCATCAGATGCACGGGTGGCAATCGCTCACACGTGCGTGCGAGTGGACGGACATTCCACCGGGGGTTTCCCCGTTACTTACCGAGCACCTCATTCGCAGTTGGCAGATAGGGGAGCGTGACGACTTGCGAGTCTCAAGTCGATGGAGCTCTGCCTATCGGTTCGTATTCAACCACCAGCCGAGTCGTTGTGTGTGGTGGGTAGAGCGCAAAGACGATTGACGATCGTTTTTTTTTCTCAACTTCCGAGAAGGGGACAAGTGCCGAACACTACATACTACACCTGCAACTGAAAAGTCAAATTTGCGCTCAGAAGTGACACATTGACCAAAGTTTGCCAAAAGTTCCGAGGAGGAGCAACATTCTCGTCACGAACGTCAAGTCAAAATTCAAGACAGCTGCTTAAAAATCACTTTCCAGTCAAGTAGTTGTCCGATTTATCGAATCCTTGCTCCATAAGCATCAAGATTAGCTATTGTCTGTCTCTCTGTTGGTGGCCAACGCGGTGACTTGTTTGCCATTGCACATTTTGATCACTTTGTAGCAAACGACCAGTCGGGACCAATTACAAACAACGTACATCCAACAATCAGACTGTCTTCTACCTCGACTACACCTTCTCTTCATTTCTACCAATCTTCATTATGCCGTACGAAAGCTTTACAACACAAGAACAGGTGGAGATCACTGAGGTCGTGCAGGACTCGTTCACCAACGCATGGATGTACGTGCTACACGTGCAACGCGGCAACACGAGCACGCACTCGTCGCCACGTGGGCCTGTAGAGGAGGGTTTCACGCATGAGTACATCATTAGCCGTCGCTTTAGTGAGTTCAAGCAGCTCCACATGGCACTAGCGTCCGTCATGGGCGATGCGCTCACGCCACTTCCAGCAGACGGACTCATGTCGATCATTCTGGCGGATAATCAGACGCTACTAGAAGAGAGGCGAGAAGTGCTCGCTCAGATTGTTATTGACATTTTGAACCACCCGGTGGCACGTGACCTGCCAGACGTGCTGGAGTTTTTGGGTCATGAGTCTATTAGCGCCAAGGTCATGGGACCGCTATCAGGTCAGTGTCATGGCTCTATCCACAAGACATCAAGTCCCGCTTGGACGGCACTTAACATCTCTTGCCTAGCATCAATCATGTCGTTGTAGTAATTGGGACATGGAGACATCGATTGCAACCCCCAATAGTTTTGACACGCACATGGAAGTCTGCAAAACCTGCAGGATTTAATATTTAACGAATGTAGAATACAGTCGTAGACAAACATCAATACAATTAATTGAGTTGCTTTTACTCAGCTGATAACGTTAATAAAAGCAAAAAAACGTGATGTATTTACTGCTAAGGACGCGTTGCTTTTACTCAGCTGATAACGTTAATAAAAGCAAAAAAACGTGATGTATTTACTGCTAAGGACGCGTTGCTTTTACTCAGCTGATAACGTTAATAAAAGCAAAAAAACGTGATGTATTTACTGCTAAGGACGCGTTGCTTTGCGTGTTCTTCCTATACAGTATGTGCTAAGCCTCGTAATGGGCCTCGATGACCACAAATATCAAACAAGTACAGCTATTTACAGCCCATTCAAAATAACTACACGCGCTCAAGAAGAGCATCGCACAAGGTGGGGCTAAGTAACTAAGTAGAAGAGTCGCTCTTGGTCTGTGGTTGCATCCTTCCTTACCAATTTAGATGGTTTTACCAAGCTTAAAAGTCGGAAAGGCCGAAGAAGTTGACACTGTCAGCACAGCACTAGCTGTAAATCGCGAAGCTTTGAAAGAACATCACAGTTCTGCTTAGCTGAACACAGATCTAAGACTGCCTGTAAGTCGCACTTGTAACTTTGTAGGCTGATCTGAACACGAACTGCGAGAAGTGTAAGTCTGTATCTGTAGTAAGAAGGCCGTCTCTATTGAAGCAGACCTGGGATGCAGACAATAAGATGCAGACAATAAAGAGCTGTATAGTTTTTCGTCGAAAAGAAGTACATCTGGACGGCCCTGATTACAGGCAGTAGTACTACTGGCACGATTTGCGCCTTATGCTTAAGATCTACTCTACTCGCCAGAGTGGCTGTAGAAATGTCATGGTCTACTCGGCATGTTTTACAGACGTCAAGTCAAAAGGGGGGGGGGGCAAAAACACAGTAAGTAGTATAGATTTTTTTCACCGAGCGTTTGTTGCCATTCATTTACCGCTTGTAGAGGATAACGACGCCTCCATTCATGCGTCTAAGGCTCCAAAAAGAATGTTTGAAGGAGAAGGTAGTGGACGTGATGGACTGCTCAGCCAAATCGCACGACTTGAACCTCATCACAAAATATTTTGGGAGGCGCGATGCATACGGTCAGTTTGGCAGTTTCAGACCGAGACGCTCTTATTCAGACGATCAAGGAATCCTGGTTGGAGACAACGCGAACGTCTATAAAAGTTTGGTTGCACCTATGTCGAAGAGGTGTACGGCTACGCTGGCTCTTTATGAAACAGAGCAATGGGGGCAATAGGAACCCGTCTTACTAGTAGTAGAACCTGATTCAATCAAAGTAGTAGTATACTCGCCAGGTCGATCAACTGCAACTTCAACATTGAACCGGTTGAACTGAGAAGCTGTTTGTACTGCGTTGCAAAAGTCTCGAGGCGTTTTATAATTGATACTAACATTTACTTTACCATGCATTTATTTCATCGGATTCAACGTTGCATCAGCTTCGCAAAAGTCTTCGTGAAAATTCTGTGGGCGATCTAAGAACCATCCACGGAGCCACATTGAAGCAAACGATATCGTGATTGGCAAATCAATGGCAAGTGACCGGCATCTATGAACTCTTATGTAGCGTAGAACGATCGAGAACTTAGATTCTGTCGCGCTGGTCCAGCGTCTTTTGGTTGGAATTGTGCACACTTGCGACTGAAGAATCAGACTGCTATCATTTGATCAGCCGCATTCCATGCTATGGACACTAGAATAAAAATAAGCTCACAATCTCGTGACTATAAACGTTCGTTGGGTGAGGTAGTCCAAAGAAACTTCGAGGGAACTATCCAATTTAGGAGAACCTTCAACAAATTCTAGTTACTCTGTAGCTAATTTCGACGGCATATATACATACATAAATGATATCCCGTCATCCACGCGGGCTGATAAAGCTGGCTTTATATGATGTCATCATTGCAGTCTGCAGCGGCAGAGGCGAGTCAGAGACAAGCACTGAGCCAGTGAGTTCCCTACTGTCGTCATTGAAAAAAGGGACGCGATGTTGAAGTGATCCTGACGCATATTCAAGCGACTATAGCGACCGCTGTGTTTTGCTTTCGTCGCTTCATCATACAGCATGGATATATATCGCTCACGTACGCATAGGTCGACATGACCCGGCTGACTATGTTGGCATTATCACAGTCAAATGCTTGAAACGAAAAGCACACGGATAGCAATCGTACTGAGCAACGCATGAAAGGGCACAACGAAACGAAAGATTTTCAGTCTACGGAATTTTCAGTCGAACGTCATGTGGATCCTGTAAAACGGTCGAGCTATTTTTCATAGACCACTTCCATAATATAATCACCTCAACGATCGAAGCTCGAAACTTGATACGTGGAACGCTCTCAGCCGGACAACGCAATCGAATAGCGTAGTCAAATTTTGTCGCTCACGTTCGAACTCGGGTGTGTCGTGCGCGTTCGATGAACTCCTGATTCGTGGGAAGAAATCAGCTCCGGATCGAACTCCGCCGCCGGTGTCAGGTACGCCAGCAACTCGCTGGTAAGTTACGTGACTAAAGTTGAACTCGTGGTCTTTACAGACTTCAGCTCTTGTTAGTGGCCATCAAATCACGGCCTGCCCATGCGCAGGCGACATGATTCCGGGACATCACCCTTGTAACCAGCCGGTTCCACATCGTACCCCATTGTCAATAGCAATCTCTAGCTTCGCGCACATGAACCAACACTGTTAACAAAGCGTAGTCAATACCTCTTTCGTTCTTATACTTACTTGTTCACACGTGCCAATGCGCCTGTCGTCGAAACGAACGGCGATCAAAAAACGCCATGGGTCTCAACTTGAGACTCGGCCTTGTCGGGCCCGAGCCTTTGGACAGGCGAGAAACGATTTGCATGACTTGCTTTGGGTTGAGCAAACGGGTCTGGCCCCCCGAGAAGTTGCATCTTTGTAGAGTGGGAGTTCGACGCACGCTCTCGGACCCGGCGTCGCCTCATCGGCCATCGTGCGACAAGAAAAAAAAGCAGACTCACTCAAGAGCAGATCGAACACACTTGGGACTTTGGGTTGGTCATTCTCATATTTGCTTGAAAACAATCACATCCCATGCCTTACGAGAGCTTCAAGAGTTCACAGCACGTGTCCATCCGTGGTCTTGTGCAGGACCGTAAAACTGGCACGTGGAGGTACCTGCTCCATGTCACGCGTCATATGCAGGATGACACGTTTGGTGCGTCCGTGCACGCCCGCTGCCCAAAAAAGAGCGAGGACACTTCGAAAGTAGCTGCAAGACCTTGTACGACGCAGTCGTACGCGATCCGCCGCAGTTTTGAGGAATTCAAGCGACTTCATGAAGCTCTGGCACCGCTCATGACCAAAGGTGGCAAGTCCCAACTGCCCAAGATGCCGTACGACAGTCTACTCACATTTTTCGTGGGGGAGACTCAGACGGCTCTACAGAAAAAGAGACTCGCGCTCGAGCGTGTCCTGGCTGCAATTGAAACTCACCCGGCGGCAAGTGACGCCCCCGAGTACATGGAGTTCTTGGCCAATCTCAACTCGTACGATGAGGTGTCCAAGGCCCCACTGTCGCCCAGCATAAGCTCCCGTAGCAGCTTTAGCTATAGTGAAGACAGTATGATCACGCCACGCGATTTCGTGAATTCCAACGTGTTGACTACGTCACGATCCGCTAATGCTCTGCGACGAGCTTATTACCAGGATGATGCCGCGGTGGAGCACGAAAACCATGTAGCGTTTTCTCATTTTAGTATGACTTGAACAAGTCGGCAGCGAAGACGCTGAAGTTTAGAGGACAAAAGCAATTTTTAAGGATCAGTCGTAGGAAATGTACACAAGTAGAGTGAGACGGCTAGAAACTATCGATTGGACCGACGCTCCCATCGATCAAAAGTAAAGAGGAAAATGTAAGTTATGACATCAATCGCTCCGACTTGACGCCTTCCAGGCCTTGGTGCAATTTACGCACCATTCGCACGACGTGAGGAACCGAGCGATAACCAAGACCACAGTTGACATTATAGGCCTTGGCTGAACAGCTCTGTGGAGTCATGTCTTTCCAGAAATTGGAAATTAGCAGACGCCCGTACTCGAGGAAAGCAAAGTCGTAGTGCCGCTGAAAAGCCTCGAAGGGGTAGCTCTTTTGCAAATCAGACGTGACGTCAAGCGCCTGCAGTCTTTCGCTCAAGCGATCGTAGTAGAAGTGCAGCAAGTCGAGCTCATTCTCGTCATTAGCAAGTAGTGAAATACTTACCGACGTATTGAGAAAGTTTGCAACGTCCATTGCACCGAGACCTACACCACTCCATTGCCAGTCGAACGCCACGACTTCGCGTGACCGGGACTCAAAAAACAGGTTGGCGCTCTTGAAGTCGCCATGCACCACTGTGCTTAATGAAGCGTTTGAGTCCACGGAAAGGCAAGTGCTGATGTATGCGGCTTCTTCAATCATGCGTTCGCCAAGTGATTCCAGCGCTGCTGTTGATGATAAACCCAACTCGGATATGAAAACTTGTTTCCAGCTCGCAAGCATTTGCGGCCAAATGTACGAAGCTTGTGCGAGTTCTGTCGCACCTCGTTTCGGGAATGCCCACCAACACGCCGCCGGCCAAAGCTTCGAACGCGCTTTTTCAATTAGATCTTCTTGTCCCCATATCGACGCATGCAAATTTGCGAGGTAAACCAATGCTTGTTGAGTATCTACACGTCCAAGACAATCAGCGGCTTCGTAGTTAGCTAAAGATGCAGAAGACACTGCACCCAGACACTCCAATAGAATCATAAAGTTTTCAGGATTCGAGCACGTTGCCACATGCTCTGCATCACTGGCCATATCAGCGACCATGTTCGTCGTGCACTTTCCAGCAGCATCACTCTGGAATACTGCAAGCGGTTGGATAAGAGAAACGCCTCGCGCATGTAACGACGACGCAAAGTGCGCGTAAAATGTCGACTCGGTGTGGTATGAAGCAATGTCGCGCTTCCAGTGTGCAGCCGACCTCGACGGCAGTTCGTTCCTCGCCGACTTTTTCACAAACACGACCATCTTGCTGTCGTTGTCTTTGAAATGCACTTCGAGCTTTACGACCGCAGAGTGTTTACCGCGATGAACTGAATCGGGAATCACATTTACCGCCAACACTTGTCGACCGAGAAAAACGCACTCTTGAAACCACTGCGGCGTCATCTCTCGTCCATCCAGTGCGCTGCATAATGAATAACACAAGAGGACAGTGCAAATGAGTAAGTAGACACGTATGTATTTCGTTGCATAGCTTTACAGCTAGCTTATGACATCTACCTCGTAAGGTTGACCTTTGTGATGACGTTTACTATCATCTCGTGCGTCTCAGGCTTTACACAAGCGATCAATCCACGCTCATTGTCGAAATCGGGTGCGTTGTTAATGTGGTCGTACATGTACACATTGCCCTGCGTATCGGTGAGCTTACCGCCAAGCCCTTCAATGAGAGGCTCGACCGCACAGATATCCCACTTGCGCGTTGCCGCCTTAAAACGGAAAAATCCGTCGCTTTGACCCGTCAGAACACCGAGCACCATCGTGCCTGTAGCACCACCCGTTAGGATCGTAGAAGGGGTTAGCAACTGTAACGCGTTGTTAACTAATTCGCAGTCAGTTGACGACACGGTGCAGATTAGATCGCGCTTGGACGACTTGTCTGTTTGCTTCAAGAGCTTGGCGTGTGTTATCTGAGCCTCACTCTCATGATGTTCACTGCGAAAAACACCAACACTTGGACCACCTACAAAGAAAAATAGCCATTAGTATTAGAGATTCAATTAAATAGTGAGATAAAGCTACAGGAGAGTGTCCTACCCCAATAGGTAATGCCATGTTTGCCATGGAAGGGCAGATGGACAACACCTGCGATAGGACGCTGTTTGTACGAGATACCGATGAGTACCGACACTTCATTGTACATTTTGGCAGCAAAGCGTTTGGTACCGTCCAGTGGATCGACCCATAGTACAAGATCTTTCCAATTTAGTACAAGATTCTGGACATCATCACCACCGTCAAAGGTCACGTTGTCAAGTGCCTTGAGATCACACTGTACGACGTCCTCGAGAGCTGGTGGACCAAGCTCACCTTCTTCACCCACAATGGTCAATTGTGGAAAAGATTTACGTAAAGCGTAGATAATTCGTTGCTGTGAGCGACGATCGGCAATTGTCTGTGGATCATAGGTACCTTCCTGTTTATTGACCATGTCGAGTGCAACATGATGTTCTACTACTTCACGAATGACACGACCACCATATAAACTGGCTGAGAAGCACGCAGCCAGTAGTGGGCGCAACAAAGGGCTTGATATTGGAGTAGCCATTGCAGCACTATAATAAAGTGCAAGTAGAAAGAAGAGGATAAGAGTTTAATAGAGCGCAACAAGGAATGGCTGGCATGAAGAGACCACGCAGGAATGCTCGCTCACACGTCGCAGAAATGGAGGTCTTGTCTACTTAATCGTCATATCTTAGATTAGCTAAATAGAAATTGCTTTGATTGCTAATCCTTCGAGGGAAGAAGACTTGGAATTTGTATGCAACAGAGCAAAGATAAGAACCGACGTCAATGGCTGCCAGCTTTTCATCCGTGATTTGTTATCGGCTCAAAAAAATGACAGTAGAACTCATTATATGCGGCGCCGTGACAGTTGCGTTAAGTGCGCTCAGTACATTGCGTTTTGTTGCTTTTATTGACGTTAACAACTGAGTAAAAGCAAATCAATTAATTGTATTGATGTTTGTCTACGACTGTATTCTACATTCGTTAAATATTAAATCCTGCAGGTTTTGCAGACTTCCATGTGCGTGTCAAAACTATTGGGGGTTGCGATCGATGTCTCCATGTCCCAATTACTACAACGACAAGATTGATGCTAGGCAAGAGATGTTAAGTGCCGTCCAAGCGGGACTTGATGTCTTGTGGATAGAGCCATGACACTGACCTGATAGCGGTCCCATGACCTTGGCGCTAATAGACTCATGACCCAAAAACTCCAGCACGTCTGGCAGGTCACGTGCCACCGGGTGGTTCAAAATGTCAATAACAATCTGAGCGAGCACTTCTCGCCTCTCTTCTAGTAGCGTCTGATTATCCGCCAGAATGATCGACATGAGTCCGTCTGCTGGAAGCGGTGTGAGCGCATCGCCCATGATGGACGTCAGTGCCATGTGGAGCTGCTTGAACTCACTGAAGCGACGGCTAATGATGTACTCATGCGTGAAACCCTCCTCTACAGGCCCACGTGGCGACGAGTGCGTGCTCGTGTTGCCGCGTTGCACGTGTAGCACGTACATCCATGCGTTGGTGAACGAGTCCTGCACGACCTCAGTGATCTCCACCTGTTCTTGTGTTGTAAAGCTTTCGTACGGCATAATGAAGATTGGTAGAAGTGAAGAGAAGGTGTAGTCGAGGTAGAAGACAGTCTGATTATTGGATGTACGTTGTTTGTAGTTGGTCCCGACTGGTCGTTTGCTACAAAGTGATCAAAATGTGCAATGGCAAACAAGTTACCGCGTTGGCCACCAACAGAGAGACAGACAATAGCTAATCTTGATGCTTATGGAGCAAGGATTCGATAAATCGGACAACTACTTGACTGGAAAGTGATTTTTAAGCAGCTGTCTTGAATTTTGACTTGACGTTCGTGACGAGAATGTTGCTCCTCCTCGGAACTTTTGGCAAACTTTGGTCAATGTGTCACTTCTGAGCGCAAATTTGACTTTTCAGTTGCAGGTGTAGTATGTAGTGTTCGGCACTTGTCCCCTTCTCGGAAGTTGAGAAAAAAAACGATCGTCAATCGTCTTTGCGCTCTACCCACCACACACAACGACTCGGCTGGTGGTTGAATACGAACCGATAGGCAGAGCTCCATCGACTTGAGACTCGCAAGTCGTCACGCTCCCCTATCTGCCAACTGCGAATGAGGTGCTCGGTAAGTAACGGGGAAACCCCCGGTGGAATGTCCGTCCACTCGCACGCACGTGTGAGCGATTGCCACCCGTGCATCTGATGCCAGGCACGAATGGCACATAGTCTACAGAAACTAGAAACGAGAACAGAAAAACTCGTTTGTAAAATGTAACGCTGTGCAGAATGATCAGGTGGAGGAGGGACCAAGTTCGACTTTCCCCGGTCAAAGTCCAATGGTAGTCTCTCGCTTCAAGCAAACGGTGCCGACAAAGGCAACCGTTCCAGCGCCTTTCTTCTTCTGCTGTCCTCTCAATGGACCAACGCTTGGTGACGATCTCTTCCTGGTGCGACCAAACCCCAGCAGCCATCTGGACAGGCACGCAAATCGATAGCATACGATACTCATATGGTTTATCCCGAGACTCTGGCGCTAGGGTTAAACGGTCTATACACGGCATGTGTCGCTTGGCAGCCTTCGGTGAACTCGATGCTTTTTATGATAGAGAGTAAGACGGCCATCATCTTAGGAGATCGAGGTGATTCATACCCTCTCCTTCAACAGGAGACGCAAGTTTGAATAAGTGTAGCAATTACATCTCATGTAGAGGATTTGCCTGCCATGCATTGAGCTTCATGGGGCTCCTTTTCAGAGCCAGCCGCTGGTTGTAGTATGTGTAAACATTAGTATCCCACAAAGCTACACGTTGTAATATGGAATACCAACAACAACTGCCGCAATATCAAACAGCGACACCCGTTGGAAACGTACTGCCCCTGCTAATTGCATGCAACACCATGCTTTATCAAATGTAGAGGTTGGGTCTTTTCAAAAGCAGGACTTGTTGTTGGACCGAAAAAGGTCTCTTGTAGCACGTTCGCTGCTGCTAGTAATTTGGCATGGGCAAACACTGATGTTCATAGGCAATGAGCTCCCTACAAATGTTCCAACGCGAGTGTTACACGAGTTCCCGTATGGGTCCTAGATAGCACTTATGGTCGGTTGCGCACGCACGATGAGGTCTATGTCCAGGATTGGATGGTCGACCTTCAAACACGACGGTTGCAGTCGTCTGAGTCTACAGCAGCAACAATTGTCACGCGGCAATCGCGTCGAGCAAAACTCACGCTATCGATGATTATTCAGCAGACTTTGACCAGTATTTTTTTAACTGGCACTGAAGGAGTGAGAATCCTGGCGACAATGCACATGGTGGACAGACACTCTGGCGTCAGTCGTCTACACCTCATTAACGCTCTGTTTTCTCTGGTCGGTGCTAAAGGAATCGCCTTGAAGGTGGAAACTCACTCGCGTGTTGAAAGACGAGCATGATGGTGGAGATATTGGATTACAACATTGTTGTCCATTATGACCTTCTTGAGTGGATACTAGTTCTTGTTCGATCCGGATACTTGATCCCCACAATCGACAATCATCAGGCTTTCATGTCTCTGAGTACGTCAGACTCCCATGTGTGGATCAAGAAACGTAGCCTATGTCCCCTCTGCATTGATGATACCTACCCAAGTGCCCAACGTCCGCTGCAACCCATGACCCTCAACCTTTAATGGTCAGCAAACATTACTAATGAGAAGCCAAGAACCGAGTGGGGGTTCATTCGAATGTTTGGCTAGCTAGAATCGATCAACCGTCTCCTTTACGTCACGCCTTATGCGACCAGTATAGTCATGTAGAGATTCTACGAAAAAGAACTAGAGCATTGACAGGACGTAGACTTCTCGGCTTGCGTTCTTCTCCTGAAAGCTCGAGGAACATCAGGTACATGTAGATGTAGCCGTCAGATGCGATGCTCAGGGCCACAGCTTCCATGGTCAGCGCACTGCTACCATGGCGCAATACCGACTGCATCATGTACAGCGGCGACATGAACTCGATGATTGCAACGAACAAGCATCGTCCGTTGCATGCATATCATTATGTATACGGAGTAAGTAATTGTAAGGAAGCTATTAGATACTGCTGAAGAACTACTACTGCCTCAATAATGTTCCTCCATAGACACCTAGATGAGGTTGTTGCTGACACAAATGGAGCTACCATAAAAAACGTCGTATGGCTCATGACCTATTGACAGTTCATGAAGCTCGTACGTCAGCATGCAACTTTCTTTGTGGACGTGCCGCCACGTAACGTCGCAATCTTTTACGCTTAGTAGTGTACTTGTTTTCTTTTGTTTTGTAATGCTGCTGTTTTCATGACACATGCTAATGCATTCCTGTGAAGGTTTTTTGTGTCTCCATAACGAAGCTTGTTCGGTAACACTCGCGTTCTCAAAGACTCCGCTGAATATCCTTGTTTTGATCTAACGAAATCTTCTCGTTTTGTGTACTAGCTGCTTGTAAGTCTAGGTAAATTGGCTATAGGTCGTAGATGTCTTTCTTAAGAAGTGAAAGGAAAACCTGGTGCCGTTATAAAGGCTTCGCTAGTCAAGACGATTGCTACTCGGTAGGAGCTGACCACGACACTTGAGCCTTATGACGATTCATGTGAAGCAAACCGCCGGCTATTGCGCGCATAGCACTTAGTGGCATATTTAGGAAAGAACTCAAGTTTACACTAAGCCGTAAGCGTGAACTAGACTCATGCATCTAGAGACAATAGCACATTATACGGACATCAACTGTTTTATCAGACAACATGGTATCATCAGCGATGTATTGAGGTGGCACGGCTCACACTTTGGGCATTCGACGATGAGATCACTAGAATGTAGTGCCTGAGCATTTAAAAGGGAGGTACTGGAATATCCGACGCATGCAAAACCCATCAGTCAGCGTGAGTAAGCATCACACCAAAACGATTGTCCCAATTCCCAACTTTCGCGCTTCATTGCTTCATTGCTCTAAAATCTTCTTGCCGACGTCGAGCATTGTTTTGCTGGTACAAGTCTTACTTTCGCATCGCATTTCCAAGCATGACGCCAGTAGCGACACTCACTGCAGCGATAATCGAGTAGAGCACTAGATGGTTGGTAGAAGCGTACTTTTCGTGCGCACGCTCGCGCGCGATGGTGTTGCCCAACAAGCTGTTATTGTACGAATCCAGCAGCTGATACGCGTAGTAGTGCGCACCACGTTCGCCCAAATCTTCCGTCAGCACCAGATAAATCGGAATAGCTTTTATCGCAGGACTGACACGACCCTTGTTAAAGCACGCCTTGAGGAAGATGTCCTTGTGCGTGAAGTATTCGAGGTTTTTCGGCGCTAGGCCACCGGTGATGTAGAATCCACCACGAGGAAGATACTTGAGCATGGCAGAGCCAGCTTCGCGACCATAAGCGCTATCAATATATAACACACCAAGAGATTAGCACAAATACCGTAGCTCATAAAACCAAGGCAATTGGCTCGTGCACGTACTCGACAAACATCTCCATAGCCTGGTTGCAGAGTTCGTCCGTCTTGGCATTATCGCCCACGATCTTCCCCTGCAGCGACTTGGCGGTCATAAACGCTTCGTGTACCTTTGCGTTAACCTTTTCCGGAAACTTTTTTGACAAGAACTTGTAAATCGTGGCCAACCCGGGGCCACTGACAATGCGTTCAACCGAGAAACGGCGATCACAGCCCAGTTCCTCCTTAATGGAATTGTACAGCTCAATTTCCATGGTGTCAGCTGGCGCAAAGTCCGTGTGGCCTCCTTCACAAGCAAAGCACGAGTAGTGACCGTCCACGTCTGCTGTCAAATAGCATTCCCCAAGGCCTGTTCCAGCTCCAATTGTAGCAATTGGCATTCCCTCTTCTTTTTCCGCCTCATTTAGTACAATGTACTCATGAGGCTTTAAAGTGAGAAGTCCATAGCCCATTGCGGCAAAATCATTAATGAGCTTCACTGTAGCAATCCCAAGTTCTCTCTCAAGTCCAGGTCCATCGATCTTCCAGCCGTCCTTAATGTTTGTGAACCTATAATAACAATACTTTCAGTCTAAGTACTTGTATCCTAGAAAGTATGGTAAAAAGATCCTAGAATTCTGTTGTAAAAAGATCCTAGAATCCTGTGACGTACTCGACCGTATTGTTTAGGATCGGGCCGGCACAGGCTAGGACACAGGCCACAGGTAGTTTATCCACTAATTTGGCTTCCTTCATAAAAAGGTGACAGACCTCGGAAAAACTACCATAGTTTTCATTGTGGTACTTTTTGGCAAATGTAATTTCTCCAGGAGCTACAGAACCTCGAAAGGATACGGAACCCTTTGGAATGAGCCATAGCGACAAGCGTGTGTTGGTCCCACCACAATCTCCAGAGATAATGAGGTCGCCTCTGTTTATATATCAAGAAAAAAGAATAAAGAGTTAGAATAATAATAAGTAAAAAAATATATAAAGAGGGACATGTGATGTTACGTACGACATGGTATTGCGATTATTCGATGACGAACTAAAGGGGGAAAATTGAGAAATGACATTGGCCGGATGAAAATTGCTTGGTAAAAGCAACTTTAGAGTTGCAAACGAAAGGAGATACGGTGCCGATCAGTTGCGGAATGCCATTTATCGAACGAAATGAATGACGTATTGTGCAACGTTGCTTTACGGTAGCTGATCCCGTCCTGAAATGATTGCATCGAAAGCATGAAGTAGCATTAACATGACCCTGTCGCGTCAGACTTATGACGTGGACTGTCTTGTAGTAAACCACGTGTAGCTGTTTAGGCGCCTATTTTTGTTATCGAGATATCAACGTCGTGGACACAAAGTTTAAGTAGCATGCCATCCAATGCACAATGTAAGCCATGTCTACCTACACCTCTGCAAAAAAAACTTGCTCACGATGCGACAAGAGCTTATGCGCCAGAATGCAGCAACTGGTACGCATAAAAGTGAGCGCCACGTTCGCCAATATCCTCTGTAAGCACCAAGTAGATCGGACACGCACGCAGAGCTGAACTTACACGACCCTTGTCGAATAGAGAGTTGAGAAAAATATCCTTCTTTGTAAAGTAGTCCAGGTTCTTTGGTGCAAGACCACCCGTAATGTAGAAACCACCACGAGGCAGGTATTTCAACATTGCATTACCAGCCTCACGGCCGTATGCACCCACGAAAATCTCCATAGTTTGGTTGCATAGTTCGTTCGTCTTTGCATTCTCGCCAACCACCTTACCCTGTTGAGTGTTTGCCTTCAGGAACTTCTCATGCACCTTTAAATCCACTTTCTCCGGGAACTTCGTGGCTAGGAACTCGTAAATCGTAGCAAGACCAGGTCCAGACACGATCCGTTCCGTAGAGAAACGCTGACTACAACCCAATTTGGCCTTGATCTCATTGTACAGCTCTATTTCAATTTCGTCCGCGGGGGCAAAGTCAGTGTGACCACCTTCACAGGCAAAGCAAGTGTACTGACCATCCGTGCCAGGGGTCAAGAAGCACTCACCCAGACCAGTGCCAGCACCTATAGTAGCGATCGGAGCACTCTCATCCTTGGGTACATCATTCAGCACAATGTACTCATGAGGACGCAGGGTCAATAGTCCGTAGCCCATAGCAACAAAGTCGTTGATGAGCTTCACCTGCTTGATTCCAAGCTGTTGTTCAAGAGTGACACCATCGATCATCCAGCCGAACTCAATGTTTGTAAAGTCCACACTGTTGTTAAGAATTGGGCCAGCACAGGCCAGGACACAAATCTCGGGTACTTCGTTCGTTAGTTTAGCCTCGGTCATGAAAAGATGGCACACCTCATTGAAGCTCGAGTGGTCTTCGTTCAGGTATTTCTTGGCAAAGATAGAGTCACCGGGAGCGATATTGCCCTTAAGCTGCATCGAGCTATTGGGAATCCTCCACAGTGATAAACGTGTATGGGTACCGCCGCAATCGCCCGACATAATGAGTGAGAAATCGCTGCAATAGGTGACAGCAAAACGTAGCAATTTGTGAGACTTTGAGTCATGATTTTTCAAGTAAAAGACCTTGCGATGGGATCTGGTATAGATGACAACTACTGAGCAGTGAAATTATAGACACTTACGACATGATAGATAGAGAAAAATGAGGTAAAAGTGATTGTCTTGGAGACGAGAGATTTGGGAATCAACTTTTGAGCTTTTCGAGACAAGAGAATCTCGTCTTCTTTTGCAGGTTGTTGTATGGACCCGTCTATGTACGCTTATGGTATTACAATCGTGTTAGTCCGTGTGCAGAGAAACGGCGAAACGTTGAGCTAAATAATTACATAACATTCTCATCTTTAGGTCATTTTTGTTTTCTGAGTGTCAATTATTTAAGTACTTTCGATCGAAAACGAACGTAACACATGGTAACACTTGGTTTTATTATAGTATGTCAAAAAATCGGCTACTTGAATCATATTGATGCTCAAATCTGATTTGCCATTGTTTCGTTGCAGCAGTCAACCAGCCGTACCACTTCAATTTAACTTGACATATGCATCGATTCAGAAAAATAGCGTCTAAGTTTCAAGTGAATCATTTAGGTGACTTTTGTATGATAAACAACTTCATCACTGAAAAATTCACTTGAATAGAGCGAGACGCAACAAATAGGTTTCTTTCGTATCCATTAATTCTGCCACTTATTTAAAGTCAACGCAAGTCAAAGTGACACGAATAGAACCGCGTGGCAGGGCCAGAAATAAAGGTATTGATAGCTGCCCTACGAATTTTCTTTAGCATATTCCGCACTTTGTGCTTCATGCTTCTGCTGATTCCAAACTGCTTAAGGTGCGGTAGTAAATATGCTTGAGCTGATTATCGATAGTACTGCCACGCATGACCATTTAAAGCTATTGTCTATCATTCAAAGCGACCGATTCAAAGATTGTATGTCAATGGCAGCTCGCTGGTACTTTTTAATATCCCTACAAATAGCACTAAGTATGCAAGCTGTAATAATGATATCTTTCGACTGTTGTTTTATCTTACAAACCCCAGTGTTTTCTATTGAATCGTAACAACATGTTTCGGTGCTGTTCTAAGCAAACGGAGCTGCTCTTCCCATCCCAGAATAATGCATGGTATGAGTTCGGCAAAAAGAAAGAACTTGCTTGACGTAAAACCACATCAACCATTAACAGCTCCTCGAATTGACTGAACCTCGACCTCGCCCCAACTTGCTATGCCTTCCTTCAACGAGCGCATTGCATTTCGTGAAATCTCAAAGTCTGGCTTGTACATCTTCATGAAAGCGACACGCTGCATCACAACAACGACTTCTTCCTCCTCGTCCCCACCATCAACTTGAGAGGTTTTCCCTTCGTCATTGTCGGACGTGTTGCTGGCTTGCTGTTCACTCACCGTCAACATCGACTTTTTGCACCTCATTTCCGTAAGTACAGTCGTGGCACTAATGTCTCGTCGCACCCTCTCTCGTGGGTCGTACGGATACAAGTCGTCAACATCAACACTGTCGGTGGCCACCACAGCACAAGGTCTCCCACCCATCTCCACTGACTTATCGAGGTATTCCGTTATTACTACCTTGTTTACCTCCGATGTAATCTCATGGCTATTCGTCGACAGCAGTCGATAGTTCCAGATCGATGTGTCCTCGTCCACCGTATCATAGTCTTCACGAACTGTCGTATGCCCTAACGCTTCCGAAATCGTGATCTCCATATTCAGCATAAAATACTTTATGGCTTCAAAAACTTGCTTTATCGACTGAGCACCCGTAAAGTGAAAAAACTCGAATCTTTCACAACAAAAATTTCCCTGAGCATCTTCGTACCGATGATCCATCAACTGAGGTTTTAGTAAATCCAGATGCTGACTTCGAGCCATCACGTACTGACTGCCTCTAGTAATCATGTCACTTTTTAGACTCAGCAGCACTTGACGTCGCTCCCACCACTCCATTGGAAGATGAATATATCGGCATAATGGACTTCCTATATGTCTCTCCTAAAATCATCGGTGATCATATAATACCAAAAACATTTTTTAGAAACCCATTTAGAAATTCTTTGCAATGCAAAATAAAACAATTCTAAAATATAAAAAATACCGGTATTCGAGCAAGCATCGATTGAGCACCTGCTACCGCCAGCTGCTGACTATATATTACTTCTCGAAGGGAATTATTTGCGCCCACAACATCTAATATTTGGGCTTGGACACTCCTGGGACGAGCTTGAAGATGTGCCAATTGGCTTTCAAGCACCTGTAACTGTGTCTTAAGCTTATTCATTTCATCCTGTCGCACAAGATACGAAGGTCTCCGGCGCTTAGGTCCACCACGTCGATGTTTTTGTCTTCCAGACATGTTGTTCAGTAGTTTGAAAAAATTAAGTTGCACAATATGTCAAAATCGCCTTTTTATGTTTTATGAGGAGAAAATGTTTTAGAAAGTAAAGTAAGTATTCAGTACGTTCAGTAAAAAAAATCTAAACTTTATTCTGTATATATTTTTGATCGCTCGATCTACGACAACTTCACATCTCTAAATTTTGCTCGTTGTGGCTTGATATCGACAATGAAGAGACTTGAAAACACTATGCGGATAATAAAGCTACCCACTTTTGAGAAAAGAAAAGAATAAAAATTAAAAATAAGTCGTACAGCCCCACGTCTTTGACTAAGAGCAGGCGTCTGTCTACTCGATCGACTGCTAACTTGCATTTCCAATACGTAATGGTAGGACAACTCGCTCAATCGTCGCCTGCGCATGGGCAGCTTGTCTCATTGCGCTGGAGGCTGTCAACGATAAGTGTCTTCATGGTGTCGGGGCACCGGGGAATGCTGGTGAAGAAACGATCCTGCTGCTCTTGCGACACCTTGTGCGGGTACATGTGGTACTTAGCCAGCAAGTAACGCTTCATCACCACGAACTTCTTGCCGTTGGCATCGGTGTGGCCGGACAGCACCACACCGCTAGACACATCTCTACGAATACGGTTTAATGCATCGTATGGATGCAGATCATCTTGATCGATGTAGTCTGTCGATAACACTGCTACATTGTCACCAAACCGGCAATAGAAGATGGCATTCGACTCCATGTCAGGCATCTTTTCTGTATCTTTGCCCTCCCACTTCATGCTTGAGACAATCCGCTGATGCATGAAGTTACACTTGATCGCATCAAAAGACTTAACATAAACAGCAACATAAATCAATAATCACCGCAAAAGACGCCTTCTGCCGTCGTAGCGTACCTCGCGAACCGTCGTGCTTCCCATGACGCTATTAAGCACCTCACCCTTTCCTTTGATTTGCTCGTAGATGGCGCGTCCAACCTGAAAGACGCTCACGTCGTCATACTTAAAGATGGCAAAGTCCACACAATAACGCTTGCCAAACTTTTCAAACACGTCCGAGTACTGGTACGGCTCATTAACATCCAAGCCGGCAGCTTTCTGTTCAATAAATTTGTACGTCATATCAAGCTTTTCTTCGCGTAAAGACAGTATCGTTTTTCTCCGCTCAATCAAATCCTTGCCGAGACGGATATACGACTCCATGGGAGTCATTAAAGCCATACGCTGTTTGTTACCAGAGCATGACAAAATTGTCAGAAATCAAAACACTCCATCACTTGTAATATCTAGCACCGCCTACTAACCACTTCGTTCACTGGTGCAAGCGCCAGCATAGCTCGAAAGTTTTCCTGATAGACTTTTTCCTGCGCAACAAGGTCTATCAAGAGCTGGTTGTCTTTCTGGCTTTTAGCCAACAACTTTGGCTGCTTCGTATCGCGTGGGCGGTGTTGCTTAAGGTTTTTGCGCTGAGGACGATTCGATTTGGCACAAGACTGCAAAAAAATCACCTGAGCATCCAGATACTTGGCCTCCTTTTCCAACAGATCCATCTCGTCCTACAAAATACAACGAAATCAACCACAATGAGAAACCTTCTGCAACTATATAATCCAACCTTCTTTATTCCCCCAATCTTTCACGTACTTCCATAACTTCTTCCTCCATCATTTCATCTTTTTCACAAATTGCCGAGCACTCCTTATTTGTTTTCTCTGCCATTATATAATGTGGCGAGGCAGACGCAGTATCGTCAGTATGTCCCAGTAAAGATGTCTCTGATACCTCAGAGAGTGATACATCTCTATGTTGCAGAGGCAACATATTGTAGCCTTTCTTAGTCGATTCGTCCACTTCTTTCTGTTGCTTTTCAGCCAAAGAACTCTCCATTTCAAACTCGTTTACACCAATTACACATGGAGATGTACTGGAAACACTTGGACAAGGACTTGGGATCATATTCAAGTCATTATAAGCATCCAATTCAATATTTGTAGTACCACTAGGTGGTTTCATTGTCGTCTGCTTGTCACTGTCGTATTCAAATGTGAGCACTTGCTCCATGTCCCGTAAAAATTGTTCATTGTCCAACAAAAACGCGGTAAATTCATCAGGACTGTTCGTCACTGGTTCTGCTGTGGCTGATAAACAGCCAGCACCACCAGAGACACCGGCTAAAGTCGAGCATGACTCACTGGAGTCTGCTACAGTATTAGAAGCTGTTGAGACGGCGATACTCACGTCTACTGAACAATTAACAAGAACATTTTCAACGTGCGAAGAGACTGCAGAAGACGCGGATACGTCCGAAAAGCTGCTGGAAAGAATGTCGTCATTAAGTACAAGTGGTAACATGTCGTACTCGAGAATGATGTCGTCTGGTTTGAGTCCTGCTGCCATTGCAGTCGTGTCGGGTCGGGTCGGTCTCTCGGTCTCTTGGTCGGTCTTGATGACCGAATTAATTGGACTTTTTGTTCTCTGAAGTTCGATTGGCTTAATTTGAAGTTTTTTTTCTAAGAAAATAGGTAAATGTGATAAAATCTGATTCGTTACAATGACAAAAATCGAAAGATTTGAATCCGTTCCGTAGAGAAACGCTGACTACAACCCAATTTGGCCTTGATCTCATTATACAGCTCTATTTCAATTTCGTCCGCGGGGGCAAAGTCAGTGTGACCACCTTCACAGGCAAAGCAAGTGTACTGACCATCCGTGCCAGGGGTCAAGAAGCACTCACCCAGACCAGTGCCAGCACCTATAGTAGCGATCGGAGCACTCTCATCCTTGGGTACATCATTCAGCACAATGTACTCATGAGGACGCAGGGTCAATAGTCCGTAGCCCATAGCAACAAAGTCGTTGATGAGCTTCACCTGCTTGATTCCAAGCTGTTGTTCAAGAGTGACACCATCAATCATCCAGCCGAACTCAATGTTTGTAAAGTCCACACTGTTGTTAAGAATTGGGCCAGCACAGGCCAGGACACAAATCTCGGGTACTTCGTTCGTTAGTTTAGCCTCGGTCATGAAAAGATGGCACACCTCATTGAAGCTCGAGTGGTCTTCGTTCAGGTATTTCTTGGCAAAGATAGAGTCACCGGGAGCGATATTGCCCTTAAGCTGCATCGAGCTATTGGGAATCCTCCACAGTGATAAACGTGTATGGGTACCGCCGCAATCGCCCGACATAATGAGTGAGAAATCGCTGCAATAGGTGACAGCAAAACGTAGCAATTTGTGAGACTTTGAGTCATGATTTTTCAAGTAAAAGACCTTGCGATGGGATCTGGTATAGATGACAACTACTGAGCAGTGAAATTATAGACACTTACGACATGATAGATAGAGAAAAATGAGGTAAAAGTGATTGTCTTGGAGACGAGAGATTTGGGAATCAACTTTTGAGCTTTTCGAGACAAGAGAATCTCGTCTTCTTTTGCAGGTTGTTGTATGGACCCGTCTATGTACGCTTATGGTATTACAATCGTGTTAGTCCGTGTGCAGAGAAACGGCGAAACGTTGAGCTAAATAATTACATAACATTCTCATCTTTAGGTCATTTTTGTTTTCTGAGTGTCAATTATTTAAGTACTTTCGATCGAAAACGAACGTAACACATGGTAACACTTGGTTTTATTATAGTATGTCAAAAAATCGGCTACTTGAATCATATTGATGCTCAAATCTGATTTGCCATTGTTTCGTTGCAGCAGTCAACCAGCCGTACCACTTCAATTTAACTTGACATATGCATCGATTCAGAAAAATAGCGTCTAAGTTTCAAGTGAATCATTTAGGTGACTTTTGTATGATAAACAACTTCATCACTGAAAAATTCACTTGAATAGAGCGAGACGCAACAAATAGGTTTCTTTCGTATCCATTAATTCTGCCACTTATTTAAAGTCAACGCAAGTCAAAGTGACACGAATAGAACCGCGTGGCAGGGCCAGAAATAAAGGTATTGATAGCTGCCCTACGAATTTTCTTTAGCATATTCCGCACTTTGTGCTTCATGCTTCTGCTGATTCCAAACTGCTTAAGGTGCGGTAGTAAATATGCTTGAGCTGATTATCGATAGTACTGCCACGCATGACCATTTAAAGCTATTGTCTATCATTCAAAGCGACCGATTCAAAGATTGTATGTCAATGGCAGCTCGCTGGTACTTTTTAATATCCCTACAAATAGCACTAAGTATGCAAGCTGTAATAATGATATCTTTCGACTGTTGTTTTATCTTACAAACCCCAGTGTTTTCTATTGAATCGTAACAACATGTTTCGGTGCTGTTCTAAGCAAACGGAGCTGCTCTTCCCATCCCAGAATAATGCATGGTATGAGTTCGGCAAAAAGAAAGAACTTGCTTGACGTAAAACCACATCAACCATTAACAGCTCCTCGAATTGACTGAACCTCGACCTCGCCCCAACTTGCTATGCCTTCCTTCAACGAGCGCATTGCATTTCGTGAAATCTCAAAGTCTGGCTTGTACATCTTCATGAAAGCGACACGCTGCATCACAACAACGACTTCTTCCTCCTCGTCCCCACCATCAACTTGAGAGGTTTTCCCTTCGTCACTGTCGGACGTGTTGCTGGCTTGCTGTTCACTCACCGTCAACATCGACTTTTTGCACCTCATTTCCGTAAGTACAGTCGTGGCACTAATGTCTCGTCGCACCCTCTCTCGTGGGTCGTACGGATACAAGTCGTCAACATCAACACTGTCGGTGGCCACCACAGCACAAGGTCTCCCACCCATCTCCACTGACTTATCGAGGTATTCCGTTATTACTACCTTGTTTACCTCCGATGTAATCTCATGGCTATTCGTCGACAGCAGTCGATAGTTCCAGATCGATGTGTCCTCGTCCACCGTATCATAGTCTTCACGAACTGTCGTATGCCCTAACGCTTCCGAAATCGTGATCTCCATATTCAGCATAAAATACTTTATGGCTTCAAAAACTTGCTTTATCGACTGAGCACCCGTAAAGTGAAAAAACTCGAATCTTTCACAACAAAAATTTCCCTGAGCATCTTCGTACCGATGATCCATCAACTGAGGTTTTAGTAAATCCAGATGCTGACTTCGAGCCATCACGTACTGACTGCCTCTAGTAATCATGTCACTTTTTAGACTCAGCAGCACTTGACGTCGCTCCCACCACTCCATTGGAAGATGAATATATCGGCATAATGGACTTCCTATATGTCTCTCCTAAAATCATCGGTGATCATATAATACCAAAAACATTTTTTAGAAACCCATTTAGAAATTCTTTGCAATGCAAAATAAAACAATTCTAAAATATAAAAAATACCGGTATTCGAGCAAGCATCGATTGAGCACCTGCTACCGCCAGCTGCTGACTATATATTACTTCTCGAAGGGAATTATTTGCGCCCACAACATCTAATATTTGGGCTTGGACACTCCTGGGACGAGCTTGAAGATGTGCCAATTGGCTTTCAAGCACCTGTAACTGTGTCTTAAGCTTATTCATTTCATCCTGTCGCACAAGATACGAAGGTCTCCGGCGCTTAGGTCCACCACGTCGATGTTTTTGTCTTCCAGACATGTTGTTCAGTAGTTTGAAAAAATTAAGTTGCACAATATGTCAAAATCGCCTTTTTATGTTTTATGAGGAGAAAATGTTTTAGAAAGTAAAGTAAGTATTCAGTACGTTCAGTAAAAAAAATCTAAACTTTATTCTGTATATATTTTTGATCGCTCGATCTACGACAACTTCACATCTCTAAATTTTGCTCGTTGTGGCTTGATATCGACAATGAAGAGACTTGAAAACACTATGCGGATAATAAAGCTACCCACTTTTGAGAAAAGAAAAGAATAAAAATTAAAAATAAGTCGTACAGCCCCACGTCTTTGACTAAGAGCAGGCGTCTGTCTACTCGATCGACTGCTAACTTGCATTTCCAATACGTAATGGTAGGACAACTCGCTCAATCGTCGCCTGCGCATGGGCAGCTTGTCTCATTGCGCTGGAGGCTGTCAACGATAAGTGTCTTCATGGTGTCGGGGCACCGGGGAATGCTGGTGAAGAAACGATCCTGCTGCTCTTGCGACACCTTGTGCGGGTACATGTGGTACTTAGCCAGCAAGTAACGCTTCATCACCACGAACTTCTTGCCGTTGGCATCGGTGTGGCCGGACAGCACCACACCGCTAGACACATCTCTACGAATACGGTTTAATGCATCGTATGGATGCAGATCATCTTGATCGATGTAGTCTGTCGATAACACTGCTACATTGTCACCAAACCGGCAATAGAAGATGGCATTCGACTCCATGTCAGGCATCTTTTCTGTATCTTTGCCCTCCCACTTCATGCTTGAGACAATCCGCTGATGCATGAAGTTACACTTGATCGCATCAAAAGACTTAACATAAACAGCAACATAAATCAATAATCACCGCAAAAGACGCCTTCTGCCGTCGTAGCGTACCTCGCGAACCGTCGTGCTTCCCATGACGCTATTAAGCACCTCACCCTTTCCTTTGATTTGCTCGTAGATGGCGCGTCCAACCTGAAAGACGCTCACGTCGTCATACTTAAAGATGGCAAAGTCCACACAATAACGCTTGCCAAACTTTTCAAACACGTCCGAGTACTGGTACGGCTCATTAACATCCAAGCCGGCAGCTTTCTGTTCAATAAATTTGTACGTCATATCAAGCTTTTCTTCGCGTAAAGACAGTATCGTTTTTCTCCGCTCAATCAAATCCTTGCCGAGACGGATATACGACTCCATGGGAGTCATTAAAGCCATACGCTGTTTGTTACCAGAGCATGACAAAATTGTCAGAAATCAAAACACTCCATCACTTGTAATATCTAGCACCGCCTACTAACCACTTCGTTCACTGGTGCAAGCGCCAGCATAGCTCGAAAGTTTTCCTGATAGACTTTTTCCTGCGCAACAAGGTCTATCAAGAGCTGGTTGTCTTTCTGGCTTTTAGCCAACAACTTTGGCTGCTTCGTATCGCGTGGGCGGTGTTGCTTAAGGTTTTTGCGCTGAGGACGATTCGATTTGGCACAAGACTGCAAAAAAATCACCTGAGCATCCAGATACTTGGCCTCCTTTTCCAACAGATCCATCTCGTCCTACAAAATACAACGAAATCAACCACAATGAGAAACCTTCTGCAACTATATAATCCAACCTTCTTTATTCCCCCAATCTTTCACGTACTTCCATAACTTCTTCCTCCATCATTTCATCTTTTTCACAAATTGCCGAGCACTCCTTATTTGTTTTCTCTGCCATTATATAATGTGGCGAGGCAGACGCAGTATCGTCAGTATGTCCCAGTAAAGATGTCTCTGATACCTCAGAGAGTGATACATCTCTATGTTGCAGAGGCAACATATTGTAGCCTTTCTTAGTCGATTCGTCCACTTCTTTCTGTTGCTTTTCAGCCAAAGAACTCTCCATTTCAAACTCGTTTACACCAATTACACATGGAGATGTACTGGAAACACTTGGACACGGACTTGGGATCATATTCAAGTCATTATAAGCATCCAATTCAATATTTGTAGTACCACTCGGTGGTTTCATTGTCGTCTGCTTGTCACTGTCGTATTCAAATGTGAGCACTTGCTCCATGTCCCGTAAAAATTGTTCATTGTCCAACAAAAACGCGGTAAATTCATCAGGACTGTTCGTCACTGGTTCTGCTGTGGCTGATAAACAGCCAGCACCACCAGAGACACCGGCTAAAGTCGAGCATGACTCACTGGAGTCTGCTACAGTATTAGAAGCTGTTGAGACGGCGATACTCACGTCTACTGAACAATTAACAAGAACATTTTCAACGTGCGAAGAGACTGCAGAAGACGCGGATACGTCCGAAAAGCTGCTGGAAAGAATGTCGTCATTAAGTACAAGTGGTAACATGTCGTACTCGAGAATGATGTCGTCTGGTTTGAGTCCTGCTGCCATTGCAGTCGTGTCGGGTCGGGTCGGTCTCTCGGTCTCTTGGTCGGTCTCTCGGTCTCTATAAATGACCGAATTAATTGGACTTTTTGTTCTCTGAAGTTCGATTGGCTTAATTTGAAGTTTTTTTTCTAAGAAAATAGGTAAATGTGATAAAATCTGATTCGTTACAATGACAAAATCGAAAGATTTGAACCTTCATAGAGAGATCTTCAAATCGTAAATAGAATCTTTTTTCTTTTGTGAAGTTATTTCGTCGTTTTGTGCTTTGAATATAACGTGTTGACGACAAAGATGTTGTACAAACGATAAGTTTGACCTTGTTAATGCGACTCTGCACAATAGAAAGTGTTATGACTGTGCTGTTTTTCGTCACGCTTGGACGCGCTCTGATATATGGTTATTATATTCAGCAGCAGCGGACGTAGCATTCCTATATAAAAACTAGACTAATATCGTTAACGTTCGCTACTTACTTTGAGATACTAACTTAATATTTGTATAAAAGAGCTTGCAATATACTCTTTGCTAAGTTCGATAAGTTATAACGTCCGTTAGGTTAGAGCATGGTTGTCCACGGACTTTTCTCTAAATACCTCATTTTGTACGTAAACGATCGGGTATAACCTTTTATAGTTAATTAAAATGTACGTACACCGTATCCCTAACGTAGGATAGAGGAAGTACATAAACGTGCGTTCACCTTTTATGCCTCTTGCGTTTATTCTTATGCTTCCTCTAAAATACACGCTAAAAGAAAGGGAAGCGTTATTTTATCAACCACTAATTTGGTAAATATCAACCATTCCAAATATATAAAGAGTAATTTTACGTAATGATAATGAGATGCTTTTATTTGGCATTTTGACCAATGAAGTAAAAATGTCACGGTGTTATTTAGTATCAGAATTTCTATTATATATCTACTACATCGTGTCTGTTACGATAACGATAGTAATGAAGATTATTGTCATAACGATTAATAAATATTAAAAGACTACATCACGCATAGATACTACTGTATCTACTGGCACGTATTGGCTAGTGGAAGAGTCATACATATTAAACGAGACCAACTATGTCTACACTTTTCAGCAGTTAAACAAGCTGGTCTTCCGCCATTCCAAGAAGAAACAATCTTGAGCATAGACACCAATCAAAGCTTTGACATCACCGTCTTTCTTACTGCCGATTCGTTTTAAGTGTTTGATTACAGCAACATAACCTTTTTGCTGTAACTCAATGTTATCATAACTAAATTTGTTAGTAAAACTGCTAAAGTTGTTTTCAGCCAATCATATTATACGTCCGCCTTTACTAACAAGCATCCTCCTAATTTTCTCCTCCGATAATTTTCTCAGATTCAGAATAAAAATAAAAAACAATTCTAAAAAAATTTACGTTGCTGATCGTGACGTTGCTGCAGCTGTTGGAGAATTCACTGTTTGTTCAAAACAAAAAATACGGAAAAAGTAAACTTAAGACCCTTACTTAAGACTCTTAACCGTCGATACAATGCAGAAATCCTCGAATCCCAAGCGAATTTACAAGAGAAGAAAAGCTACACACACTGTGCGTAAAGAAGAGATGCAAATGTTAGAGTTAGAACTCACAAAATTACAAAAAAAGGTTGAATTGTTAAAATTTCAGACTTTGGTCGAAAAAATCGACGAAACTCCGTCAAATCGAAATTTAAAAGCAAAAAGCACTTTATTAAGAAAAGCAGTACATGAACAACATTTAATACTGGCAAGAACCCAAGCGATGTTTGCAGTGCATTCTCAACAAAGTCGATACCGACTTTATCCAACGGAAATGAAGATTCGACTTGGAATGGATCGAAATGACAGAAGAAAAATGTTAAGTGCTCTAAGAGAACCGAAATTGGAAGAAGCACGTCAATTTTTAATGGAACGAACAAGGGGATTAAGTCCAATAGCGCCATATTTTCAAGAAGAACGGTACGATACAAAGGACGGAGATTATTGTATTACAAGGCTTGATGTGACCCCATTTCGAGGAGCAAAAAGTGTACAAGATGTGTTTTTAGCCTTACAGCAAGCCATCTTTAATGCTGAAATTATCATTTCCGAGACGTCGGGAAATATTACCATTCGTGAAGACGATGAATTGGGAGATCATAATTTATCACACATGCGCTTTTCGTCGGAGTCCTCGCTTGGTGTACAACTTGAGACGAATTTAGTGTTGTTCTCGGATAGCATACAATACGAAACGAAGGATGTGGACTATGGTCGTTGTGCGATCATGGCGTTAGATTTTGTCGATGAAGATGAAAAGTACCCGTACAAGCCAAATGAGCGCATAAGACGTGATTTTACGACTGTGACCATGGTATCGTCCTATCAAGACTATACTGCTGGCATCAAAGAGGAGGGTGAACTTGTGGTAGTGGTCACACGATGGGCGGCCACTATTGTACGACGTCCATCCGTTTCTATTTCATATGGTGTTTGGGATGACTTGCGCAACTCGAATCTTCGATGGCCAGACTTGATGCTTAACTGTGTGCGTGAAACTCTCGGACTGTCTGCAGTGAATCCTACTGTCCCCAAATGATCTTGTGTTTTTTGTTTTCTGGATCGCGTAAAAGGCATGCACTAGCTGAAAAAAGCGAGAACAGGCCAGTTGCGACATGGAGCTGTCCATAATAATTGTATGTTGCCTGTGGACTGACAGCTATATAACGCATTCGCGCTTGTCGCGTCAATACCTAACATGGTGACGAAGCAGTTTCCCTCTAATATAGAGAGAATTTGTAGTCACGAGTGAATTCGAACTAAAATCGCAACCAAGAGACATATACCGTTACCTTTTGTAGAGACGGCGGGATATTAATCTAGTTACCTACTAGGGCCTCTTCCCAATATTTACTATGTGTAAAACAAGCGTTGATAAAATCTTGTTATACTTAGATGTCTGCTGCGTAAATGCATTTGACAGTAAGACTGTTGTGAGGTACGAGGCTGGTAAAGATGATTTGAACGGTAGAAGGCAGATAGTAAAGTGATGTATTATTAACAAGAGCGTTCAATGTATGTTTAACTACCCTGTCATCATCATTCTACAATCAACTTGCTACACTAATCATCGGTAGCGTAAACAAACCGTCATCAATGTGGTAGCATTGAACCAACTCTGGCTAGCCGGTTTACAGTCACAAAGTGTCATCAACCAGGTGCTTCCAAAAGAGACCAACTTACAATGTATCAGATCCAAAGAGAGCCGACAATTTGCCCATTCATCATCGCAATTTGAATTTGTCATCCAGCTAGTTGCCAGGACCACGCGCCTCGATCTCCCATACGTGTTCGACACGGTTGCCACGGTAGCCCACAATGTGATCGTACATGTTTATAGTCGGATCACAGTGACCTGGAATAAGCAGCAATTTAGTGCCGAGAGCAGGAAGCTCCAACTTGTGAGTGTTTAAAGCATTCTGGTTTGGTTTTAGGATCCCATGTTCATCCCCACCGTTATAATATTCAAGCGTCGTCGGCAGCTTCTTTCCATCGATCAAAGTGTGTACAAGTGGCGAGCCCGAGTCCAGCGATACCGCCTTCGTACCAGCATCTACGACTGCACGCGGCACCGCAGCTTTAACATTCGTGCTCATCACCGTCGTGAGCACATACAGACTTTGCTTCCACTCACGCACAAACTCTCCATCCTCTCCAAGGTTTTTTGCATAGTCAGCATCATTGAACAAGTACGAGCCCGGCTGCACCTCTGTGAAAACTCCACTTGCCGCTTCCAGCAGGTACGTTCCCGTTCCTCCTCCCGTAATCACTTGACAGTTGAGTCCGTGCTTCACCAGTTCATCCCGTACACGCTTAGCCTTGTCAACAACACCCGCAATCACCTTTTTCTTCTCATCATAGTTGCGAATATGCTGTGCCGCTCCATGATACGCTTGGATCCCCATCATTTCTAAATGTGGAGCATACGACTCGATCATTTTTGCCAACTCAAGAACTTCGTCCACCGTGTCAACTCCACATCGATCTTGTCCCACATTTACCTCGACCAAAGCTCGAAAGTCGACACCTTGGGTCTGTGCCACTTTTGCTGCTTGTGCAACTGTCTCGACAGTATCAAATGTCAATGTCACTGTTGCACCCCCTTTCCTGAGAACAGCCATGCGTTCGTAACGTTCGATACCGTATATTTCATTGCTTAGGAAAAGGTCCATCACCCCTTTGGTAAACATGGCTTCAGCTTCACTGACTTTTTGACAACAAAGTCCCACGGTCTGCGCCATTTTCAATTGTAAGTGTCCAATTGCCGACGTTTTATGGGCTTTTGCATGTGGACGAATTGCGACATGTGGAAACGGCGTTAAAGCGTCAGACAGACGATGCAGGTTTGCTTCCAGCGCGTCCAAGTCGACAAGAATACAAGGCGTTTCTAAGGAGGAAATGGCATGACCCACGGATCCAAAAACGCGATGACGGACTGAAGATGAACGAGTTGAGAGACGACGGATAGAGAAGACACCAATGCTTGTTGCAGCGACTGCGACTGCGGTGGCTATAGGAAGCGAATAGGAGCGCCACATTTTTTTTCTTCTTCCCAAAGATATTTTTTTTAGATATGGACGACCCTTAGACATGAAAATTTGACAACAAGGAGGGGCCTATTGGGTGGAATGCATTGGTATGAATTATATTGCCGAGATGGATGAAGATGCTATGGAGACCAGATGTGGAGACTAGACGTCGAACAAGTAAGAGACTGTATGAATGGTGGTTGTGTGAAGGAGAAACAAAGAACAAGGGAAGCAGCTTTGACGGCTGTTGGCCACACTTGAGAGTACGGCATTGCTGCGTACATCTCTTTTGCCAATGCTACACGAGCATCCAGTGAAGAAGCGCTGCAACGTGTAGATCAATTTAACCTGCATCACTTCATCTTCATCAGGACAAACTGTGAGGTGCATCGATTTTTTTTCAAAAAGAGTAAAGCTGATGTATTCGACATGCTGGAATCCAAATGAAGACGACACGGGTGAGACTCATTTTCTTACCTAAATGAGATCTGCCACGTTCATGGGCATCTCGTCGATTTGCGTACTATAGTACTGTTCGATGTCTCGCAGAATGCGAATGTCGTCATCCTTCACAAAGTTAATAGCAACACCTTTGCGTCCGAAACGGCCGGAGCGACCGATGCGGTGAATGTATAGCTCGCGGTTGTTAGGCAAGTCGTAGCAGATAACAAGCGACACCTGTTGCACGTCAAGACCGCGCCCCCAAACGTCTGTGGTAATAAGCACACGAGAGCCACCTGACCGGAACTCTTGCATGATTGCGTCACGCTCTTTTTGTGGCATGTCTCCATGCATCGCTGACACTGTAAAATTGGCCTCGCGCATCTTGGACGTGAGCCAGTCTACCTTTCGTTTCGTGTTACAGAAAATCACAGCTTGCGTGATAGTTAGCGTGTCGTACAAATCACACAACGTGTCAAATTTCCACTCCTCCTTTTCAACTGCTACAAAAAACTGCTTAATGCCTTCCAACGTCAGCTCATCACGCTTCACCAAGACTTTAACAGGTTCGTTCATAAACTTGCGCGTCAAGTCGAGCACTTCCTGCGGCATGGTAGCCGACACTAACAGCACCTGCGTCGATGGTGGCAAATAGCGGTAGATATCATAGATCTGCTCTTTAAAGCCCTTGTTCAGCATCTCATCGGCTTCATCGATCACAAGCATCTTGATGTTACGTGTACGCAAGTTACGACGACGAATCATATCAAAAATTCGACCGGGTGTGCCCGACACTACCTGCACACCAAAGTCCAGTCGACGAATATCTTCACCGACACTTTTGCCACCGATGCAGGCATGACACTGGACATTCATAAAGTCTCCAAGAGCAAGCACAACCTTTTGGGTCTGCTCAGCCAGTTCACGAGTTGGTGAAATCACTAAAGCTTGTGTTTCATTGCTGGAAGTATCAAGAGATTGGAGGATCGAAATGGAAAATACTGCCGTTTTACCCGTTCCTGACTGAGATTGAGCAATTAAATCACGACCTTGTATAGCCGGTTTAATAGCACGTTGCTGGATAGCTGAAGGCTTTTCAAAACCTAGTAAAAGCACAATATAAACATGAGAATCACAATGTGACAAGTATCCTTATAAAATGAATAAAAAAACATTCTGAAGCCTCGAGTGTGAGCTAGAGAGCGACCTAAAGCCTACCAATTTACAGACAGTACAATAAAATACTTACCATATGAGTAAATGCCACGTAATAAGTCTTCCTTGAGTCCCATGGCCTCAAATGTAGAAAAAATGGTAATATCTTTCGACGTGGTAAATTCAACCGTTTCTTCGTCATTTTCGTCCACAAGACGCGAGCCTAAAGGATATCAATCGATAGCACAGAAAGTCAGCTACAAGTCTATAGTTATTTAAGTATAGAGAAACATGAAGAGGATGAAGAAAGAGACAACTTACGTCGCTTCGTGTCGTCGCTTGGCATTTTGTCGGCTAAACGCTCGAACCACCAATTGAGTTTTTCTAACGTTTCTAAAGAGATATAAAGAAATGGGTCATAGAAATGGACCACAAAGATTGAAAAATGGGTAATGAGATGAGACATAAGGTTGTTTTTTTAATCTGTACAACAAACTTTTATAAATATGAGGTTGTGGAGTTTTAAGCGGTGTTGACGCTTTGGCGAATACTGTACGCTGGCCAAAAAATGTACGACCAAGTCGACAAGTATCACTTACCTGCTTTACCGTTGTTCTGAGGCAGTAAAGCGCATCGAGCAGGTCCAAAAATTGCACCATATTCCAATATTTTTTGCTCCGATGACAATCTTCGCAATAAAACGTGTCTAAATGAATTTCATGGTGAATGGGACTGCCGGCATCGAATATTCGAGCAATTTCTCGATAAAAACACAGCTTTTACCTTTTCAGCTTACAAATATCCGACATAAGGGGTTGTACATTTCCTAAAGCGCCTGAATTGTTAGCATATGCATTGCTGTGTTATGGTTACACTTGTTGATATTACACTGCTAAATGCATGTCGGACAGGCGAATGGCGTTACAGGATACGAATATGATAGGCGGCTAATAAATGTGCTGGAAACAAGTGATAAGAGAAACGGCTGTCAGATCTTTGCATTTGTGTACAAGCACGGTTCCAAGTAGGACATAATGAAGGTTAGGCCAGACCGAAAAATATGGATGGACGTGAGAACAGGAACGGCAAAATAGCTAGCGTAGATAGAGAGTCGTAAAAGGGAAACAGTAGCAGGTTAGGCCAAGCAGAACACAGAATCAATTTTACCCTCATCTAACCACTACTAACTATTTCCTATAGGTTCTGAGCCCAATGGCTGGATCGAACGATATCAAGGCAAAACCGGCAACAGCAGGCCACGCAAGGCCTCGCCAGCACGCGCAGTTAGTGTGTCGCGCGCCGTAGGCGTCATCGAAGACAAGCCAGCTTACGCAAGGAGCTCGGCCTTGACGACAAGATTCTCGCGGCCCGGTCCGCCGTGACCGATCGTCTGTCAAAACTGTGGCGAAGCGAAAAAGAGAATTTGGCAAAGTATGATCTCATATTTTCGGTTAAGTCCGAAATGGTCAATCTTGATGAATCGCGATCCAGCAGAAGTTTCGAGACGTTGCAAATGGAATGTAAAACAGTGAATGGTGGAGTTCGCAATTCTATGTGGGGTCAAATATGGCCTAGAAACTACGCAATTGCGTCTCCGGTAATTTTTCGATGGAGATCCGCGTGAACGCGATCGCTAAGAAGGAGTTGGTACATCCACGTATGTGGAAGACGGTCTGGTGTGGATCACGTCGCTATGGAACACTGGAATGAGGTGGACATGACATGTCATATAGATGGACCATTTCACATGATCCGAGGAACGGTGAAGAGGACAAGTCGTGATCCGGCGGACCGCGATCCGATAATAATTATTAGTACCGCGATCCGATACTAAAATAGTACTGCGATCCGATACTAAAATAAGTACTGCGATCTGATACTAAAATAAGTACCGCATCTGATACTAAATAATAGTACCGCGATCCGATACAAAAATGGTATTAGATCCAATCGAGGTAGCGATCCAGATCGCGGCGATATTGGAGTGGACCACATTTCAAGATCTGAGTTTTTCCGAAAGGGTAATGCATGGCAATAGATCCTGAGCTACAGATAGTCAAGATCATAGGTTTTGGTATTTGATTGGTAAGCATTAAACAGAGTTTAATTTTCTTCTAAGTACACGTGTCGACTTCTCTATTTGGGGCAGGATATTTGGCCTCCCGACGCCGAGAATATCGACTCAAGTGCACCCTGGATTGTTTTGGCCAGGTGAAGGAGTTATCAAAACAACAACTCAACTGCGATCGGATGCAGATATAACAAGTAAGGGCAATGAAAGCAAGTGCAGGACGGATCAAGTGGTCAGAAGGTTCTGCTCAAGTGGCCAGAAGATTCAAGCTTCGCCTTATTGGACTATTGGGATCTATCGGTACGATCAACAAACAAGTACTCGGTAGATCTTGTGAAGATTTCCACAAGATCACCAAACCCCCTATCCCTAACCCTATAGGATCAACATCAACTCAAGTCCACCAAGAAGAGAGCAATCCGCCCTGCCGACGGGTACACAAGGTGAGGAAGGCTTTATACACGGAATCGGGGTACCCCCTCCGTTAGTCGGTCGTCCGGGCGCTAGTGGAGAGTTGGAATTGCATCAGCAATTTGCGAATCCCACTCCACCACAAAACTGGAGTCTTCTCAGCGCTTTCGCGACGAAGATGAGCGGATGCTCCGCGCAATTGAGAGCGGTATGTTCACCTCAGCGCTTGCGCTAACATGCGCGGCCAACCGATGACGATCGACGCGCTCGACTCGCCCGAGCAGAATCCAGCGGTCCCTCAGACGCGCGCACGCACGATAGACGCTGGCGACTCGATGTTTGCATCTCTGGCACTGACGCGTGGGAAAGTGCCGCCTCAGCATCGCACAACAACTCGTGCAGCGGCTTCTGCGACGTACACCGCGGCAGGGAGCGAGTACTACGGGATGCCGAGCACAAGTCAGCGCAAGCTGTCGATTTGGAAGTACAACGGAACCGAGCTGTACAAGGGTCTCGGCAGCGGCTTCTGTGACTGGGTACGAACATACCTGCGCGCATTGAACCTCGCAAAAGCGTCGTGCGGCTTCGCGCGGACAGACGGCAAGGCCGACCTCCTCGGCCACTTCCTGGTCGGAACCGCAGGGAGGTACTACCACAAACAGGTGGAAACTTGGTGGGTCGATCAGCTGACGCTTGAGCACGTGATGACGTAGCTCCACCCGACCTTCAAGACAACGATCACAGCATCTCAGGCAATGAAGCTGTTTATGCAGAAGAAGGGCACGAAGCTAACCTGTGCCGAGCACTTCCTGTACATGGTCGCGACCAGCGACGCTCGCGGTGGCGCAGACTCTTCTGTGCTCGACAACATAGTTCACACGCGTCGCCGGAGCGGATGAACGTCATGCGTGAAAAGTAAGACTCAACGAGAGTCGACTACCTGCGGCACACGGAGGAACTCGCGCACTTCGCTCAGTCGATTATGCTCGGCAGTGACGCAGTCGGACGCGAAGTCGTTGTGGCTCACGTCGAGAAGAAGCGCCTGAACACGCGGACGTGTTTCCGGTGCGGCAGGACGGGAACACGTAGACGAATGCAAGGTTAGAGTCGTGCACGACGACGAAGCGAGCGACATGAACGACGGGAGCAGCATGGTACTTGAAAGGACTGAGAAGACACCCAAAGGTCGCACCGAGCAGCTCAAGGGAAAGAAGTAGAAGAGATCGCGCAAAAAAGGCCTGATGCGAGCGGCACGGACCACAAGGCGTCGGCTGCAGGCAGCGCTATCGGCTTTGGGCTCGCAGTGAACGACGTTGTCGGTATCGAACGAGGCGATTTGAATCTCGATAGCGCAGCGATTCGGCACCTCGTGAGCGACAAGTCACTGCTTTGTAACTCTACAGCTTGCAGCCATAAGATCGTCAGATCGTCATTTTCGATGGAGAGACGCTGCGATTTACGCGCGTAGGCAGCGTGCATATCAAGGTCTTCGCGCGCGGCGCTGAGGCGATGGTGACACTCACGCAAGCGTACCTCGCGCCGTTTCTGGCAAAGAACTTCGTGTTCTACGAAAAGCTGGAACGTAAAAGGCTTCGATCTCGTGTACGACGACGACAAGCGCGCGCTGGCTCGACGGAGCGACGGTGCAGTCGTCGCGATTAACAGTAACGTTCTTTACGTCGAGACGACGGTGACGCGTGGGCGGTACAGAGCTGGCGACGCAATCATTTCTGCGCTCGGAGCGCACGCGGAGAAAACGGTTGCAAGTAGGCACGCTTTTGCACTTCCATCAGCGACTCGGTCACTTTGCGTTCAACACAATCGAGCGCATGGACCGTGACCCCGCATCCGTCATCCGACTGGTCAGCAACAAGCGCATGGCATGTGTGTCGTGCCTCGAGGGCAAATCACATTTACGAGGGTGAGTCACATTGCACACCCAAGTAGGTAGCACGTACTCTTTTGAACCTGACCATTAAGTATTCGATACTAAACGAACCGTATAACTTTGAGCCCGTTACACCATCCCCCTCTTTAAGACGATTTTTGTAAAACATCGAAAAAGAGACGATGCCGCCGAAACGTGGAAAGGCTGATGGGTCGCCTACAAAGGCGCACATGCAGACCAACACAAAGTGCACGCGCCGCGATAACTCGCAGCCGTCGATAAGTGTCTCTGTGACAACGCCGACATCTAATGTCAGCTTGTCAGTAGAGAACACTGGTCCATCCCACTATGGTGCGGATGATGACCTGTATCTTACTGGTGACTACAATGAGAGCACGCCATCGCCATAATCCCAAAGTGGTGATGAGCACAGTGCTTTGATGGGCCATATGTACCCATCCTTTATGGCACCAACCTTCAGAAAACTTCCATGCTTCCTGACAGCGAGGGTGATGCCTCGTCGTCTGCGCCAAGGGGCGCAGCGACCATAACTGAGCGCGCTTCTCTGAAAGAAATATCCGCGACTCAACAGCAGGTCGACGATTCGAAATTGTCCGCCCCTGTTAACCCTACGCCTGCAGTATTGACAATCCACAACGGAGAGTCAATCTCAGGTGAGGGTGAGGTAAAAGCTCCTTCGACTACACAGTCGGCCATATTAGAACACCGTAGCGAGGGCGGCTACATGAGTAATGGTTTGCCAGTAATTCCACGACTATCCAAGTGGTCACAATGGAGTGAAATAGTGCGACGCTTTTACAGCGTGCCACTATTGACGATAATAAACGTTTTAGCGACTTTCCATCATGGAAAAGGCAGGGAAAAGCACGAGGTCGTGCTTTCCCTATCCCCTTTATGTTGCGTTCGAATGAAACAACTGGCGAATACGAGGCAGAACTCCTGTGCCGTGTTACACCACATGCAAATGCAGTGAAACAGGAGTTGCAGCGAATTAGCTTCGCTATGATGCGTGCGAGTGAAATATTGGGTGGTAATATACTCCCAACTCCTTATCGTCACGCTGACCCTGCTAGTCCATCAGGACCTAGCAGAGCGAGTGCAGCTGGTGCTTCTTCTCGTAAGCAGCCATCAGACCAGGCACGTCGATATGCAACGCGTCGATCGGTTTTCAAGAGTCGAAACCCTTCGAATATTCTTCCCATTGGACAACGATCTGAAGCTTTTGCTTCACATGGCGGTGGGCCAGCAACCTATCAACAAGGAAGCGTGTGTTTTCCACCCGCATCCACCAACACAAGTGGTGCTCGACAGGAGCGGCGATTACTCCCCACTATTCGCGGCTGCCTATCCTGTTGTCGTTCAGTCCCAGGCGGAGATCGCTGCGCTGAAGAAAGAGGTGACGGACATCTCGAGTCAAG